ACCCGAAAATAAATCCAGGCATTCACAGTCAAATGATCTCAACAAAAGTGCCAAGAACATACAATGGAGAAATGACAGTCTCTTCAATAGATGATGCTGGGAAAACTGGATACAAACATGCAGTAGAATGAAACCAAACTCTTATCTTACACAGTATGAGTCAACTCAGAATGGATTAAAAACTTAAAAAAATCTGACATTGGTCTAGGCAATGATTTTTTGGATATGACTGCAAAAGCACAAATAATTAAAGTAAAACTGGGTATAGACGATTACTTCAAACTAAAAAGCTTATGCAATGCAAAGAAACAGAGTAAAGAGAAAACATACAGTTGGAAGAAAACATTTGCAAGCCATATATCTGATAAGGTGTTAATATCCAATATGAGGAACTCAATAGCAAGATAATAAACTGATTATAAAATGGGACAAGAATTAAACAGATATTTCTGAAAAGACATACAAACAGCCAGCAGATATATAAAGAAATATTCAACATCACTAATCATCAGGGCAATGCAAACTAAAACCATATTCATATATGTTAGAATGATTATAAAAAAGACAAAAAGATGCTGGTCATGGTGGCCCACACCTGTAACCCCATTTACTCGGGAAGCTGAAGCAGGAGGATTGCAAGTTTAAGGCTGGCCTCATCAAGTTAGTGAGACCGTTTCACAAAAAAGGGACTACAAATGTAGCTTAGTAATAGAACACACCCATCAGTTTGACTCTAAGTACCACACAGCCACATATATATACAAGACAAAAGATAATACATGCTGATAAAGATTTGGAGAAAAGAAAACATGTTCACTGCTGGAGGGAATGTAAACTATTATAGCCACTACAGAAAAGAGTACAGAGATCTCAAAAAGGAAAAAAAAGGACTACCGGGCTGGGGATGTGGCTCAAGTGGTAGTGCGCTCGCCTAGCATGTGTGCTGTCCGGGTTCGATCCTCAGCACCACATACAAAACAAAGATGTTGTGTCCGCCGAGAACTTAAATAAATAAATATTTAAAAAACTCTCTCTCTCTCTCTTTAAAAAAAAAAAAAAAGGACTACCATGACAGTGATCCCATTTCTACAGGGTACACACCTAAATGAAATAAAAACCATATGTCAAGAGATATCTGTATTCCGAGATTTCTGAACCACAACTTTACACATATCAGGCCAAGATATGGAATCAACCTATGTGTCCATTAATGAATGAATAAGGAAAGAAAATGTGGCGCGCACACACACACATTGGAATACTACTCAGCCATAAACCAAGATGAAATCCTGTCATTTGTGACAAAATGGGTGAATCCAGATGATATTACGCTGAGCAAAATCAGTCAAGCACAGAAAGACAGATATGTATGATCTAATTTAATGTAGAAATCTAAAAAAGTTCACAGAAGCAGAGTAGAATGGTGGTTGCCAGGGGCTAAGTGGTAGGGGATGGGAAATGTAGTCAAAGGGCACAAAGTTGGATTTAGACAAGATGGTTAAGTTCTGAAGATCTATGGTATATCATGTTGCATGTAGTTAATGTACACCTAAAAATAGCAAAGTAAGCAGATACTCAATGCTCTCATGAAAACATAAGTGAGGTGATGAAGTTAACTGGCTTGATTTAGCAATTTCGTAAACTGTTCATCTCTCAAAACATCAAATTATATGTTGTAAATATATACATTTTTTCATTTGTTAGATATATCTTAATAAAGCTGATGAAGGGAAAGAAAAAATATAAACCAGCCATTTTTCTAAAAATATCTAACTCAAAGAGAGACTATATGTTTTCTAGAACACTGCTACCCAGTATCTAAAGATTCTAATTAAGGGGCTTGGGTTGTCGCTCAATGGAAGAGCAGTTGGTAACAGGAGTAAGGCACTAGGTTTGATCCTAAGCACCATAGAAAAATTATAGAAAGAAAAAAAAAAAAAAAAAAAAAAAAGAAAAGATTCTAATTAAGGGCCAGGTAATAACAGGTAATAACTTGGGTCTACCTATTTGCTTATCTAAAACCACTATACTTTATCCAGTATGGTAATGACTACATGGATATACTTACTTACCCTGCTTATATAAGGCAAATGACAAATATAATGTAAATAACTTCATTCATCCCCATGGTCAAGGAAATTTTTAATAAGAAAAATCAGGTAGCAGTTGAAAGGCTTAGAGACTTCTCCCAACTACTTTATTTTGCTCAAAAATTATGCCAGTAATTTAAGATATACCATACCTGTTTGATGGGCTCGGCAACTAAACACCCAACGACTTTCTTTTCATCAGATACAAAGAGGAAAGTTTTGGTTTTGTTGGGACACTTGGGAACAACTTGCTGGAAGCCCAATTCATGATCAGCAAGTTCTTGGACATCTTCTACCTAATGGTGTTAACAATCAAAAAGGTGAATTTGTTTTAAAAAGTACAATAAACTACATATGCTTATCTATATAAAATGTATGTTTACTATCATCTTAGTCTTTTTTATCTCTATTTCCTAAATTGTATCTTTCTCCCCTAAATTTATACCCTCTCAAAATTTTACTATCAATTCATATGTCTGGTACTTCAGCACTAGGGCTTAAGAACCTATTTAAAAAACACTTTTAGCAGAAGTTCAGAATTCTGGGGGAAATAAGGAGTAGGAAGCACCCAAACAGATTTGTTTTAGCTTTATTCATTTTTTGTATTGGCCAACACCAACCCAAGAAAAACTGGTAATAACAATATAAGAAATAGACTTGGGGCCACTAATTTCAACACTGAAAAGCTTAGTTAATTTTTCACAAGTAGATGATGAAGATAAGAGATAAGTTGTAGAACCTTATGTGGTTTCTTTAATTCCAACTGACATTCCTTTATTTATCTTGTATAAACCCCTACTAAAGTCATTTTTAACCTATGAAGTCCCAAGTTTTCATTCTATGACCATTTCAACGAAAATGATACAAATGCATTAAAATAGGTTGGAAATCATAATTTAGAGTTTATTATATAATTTATTAACAATAATATTTAATATCAGTAGTACTAATGAATACTATCACTAATCATACACCTATTACTTTTCTCAAAGAAATAGAACTCTAAAAACAAATTTATTTCAAAGTTACCATAGGTGTATATTTGCACTCAACTCGGGTTTTTTAGGAGTTCCATAAGTGGGACAACGGAACATAATGGGTGAAGCATGTACCAAAGAGGCTTACCCACCAGCAAAGTGGTTCACACTTCAACAGAGATTAACTGTGTGGGAAGTGAGGGAAGAATAGAAAAGAGAATGTTCCACACCTTTCTGAGAGCATAAGCTGGATCACGTGGCAGGACCAATACAATCTTCCCATCCCAAAACTCTGCTACTACCCGTTCTTTTTTCCAGCCCTGTCAAAGGGAGGAAAAAAAAGTTAATTTGTGAAAACAAAAGATATTAAATAGTTTGACCCAGAGGGGATAGAATGCCAAATACCAAATGATATAAAAAAGGATTAAATCTAATTAAAAGTAACATACTCAAAAGAAAGATGCTTACTTACAACAAGTGACCTCAATGGGCTGATACTCTGTTGGGAGGCGATGAATATTATTTGTTAGAACTAAAAGCAAAGCCAAATGAGAGCTCTTGATGGGATCACAGAGAAAGAAATGCCCAATCACTCAGGGTGGGCACATGGGCAGTAGGCCAAGCTAACTTCTAAGGGAAGGTTTAATAAGAGTCTACTGGACCGAGGAAAGACAAATCTAGACAATAGAGGCTCAAGTTCAAGTGCTTTCTCCTATCAGTAGCTCAGCACAGATCTCACCCAATGCATCTTAGTCAGCTTTGTAGAAAGGGACACCAGCACTTCACTGAGCTGCAGAGGCCCACTTTTTCAATCAGGAATTTCCCATCCTTACATTTCCACCCAAGTGGTTCGGCCCCCATCCCTGTAAGTGTGTAGAACATTACAGGGTGCATAGTGCTAGTCATACGTCTTACACATATTCCCTCAGTGAATCCTATCTTCCTTTTTCACATATGCACAACAATGTCTTTTTCTGTCCTTTTACTTGACAAGACCAGAGGCTTACACATTTCAGTCTTAGTTGTGCTTTAGCAGGTGGACCCAGTGTTTATCTCAACAGTGTTATTAAAGCTATGAGGCACTTGACATGTTTTTTTTTTTTTCTTTTGAACCTTAATTAAGATTTCAGCAAGCATAATGGGGAGGGTGGCCATTTCAAGATAAGCTCACTAACCAAATAAACAAAGGTACTGTTTAATGTCATTGAAAATCCAAGGCTCTGAATTGTCTAATATAGCGATTGGCAAACTTTCTCTATGACAACATCAGATGTAAAACAGAAAACAGCAGTGTTGTGACTGATAGTAGAATTTTTAGGATAAATTTAATTAAAGATCCACATGCAGAAAACTACAAAACCCTCCTGAAAGATATAAAAGACATAAATCAATAGAAAGGGATATTAAGTTCCTAAAGTGGAGGATTAACCACAAGAAAACAACATTAGTTTACCAATTTCAATCAAAATCCCAAAAGATTTTTTTATTTGGGGATAACCTGATAATAGGCCCATTTTATAATTTGGTATAGGAAATGTGTAGGAAAAGATGACATTTTTAAAGAATAAAAAAACATTTACCTGGCCAGACATCCAGGGTATGAAACTACATTTAAAAGAGTATAGGACTAGTACAAGAACACTACTAACAGGCCATTTATATATATAGATTAAAGGTGACATTGGCAATTAGTGGGAAACATGAACTAACCTAACAATAATGTTGGCACACTTAGCAATCATAAGAAACAAAAGTAAGTTAGGATTCATCTTTAATGCAATGTCTTAAACATTCCCAATGGATTAAAGATCTGAATAATAGAATTTATAGCTATATAAGTATTTTAAGAAAATATAGGAAAATCTTTTCATGAATCTTGGAACTGACAATGACATTCCTTATTTTTTGGTCCCTGGGGATTGAACTCAGGGACACTCAGCTACTGAGCCATATCCTCAGCCCAATTTTATATTTTATTTAGAGACAGGGTCTCACTGAGTTGCTTAGCACCTTGCTTTTGCTGAGGCTGGTTTTGAACTCCCAATCCTCCTGCCTCAGCCTTCCAAACCACTGGGATTATAGGCATGTGCCAAGCTGAGAATGACATTTCTGACTTAAGAAATGCAGGTCAAAATAAAATCAAGTAATAATATTTTCTTATATATGCAAAAATTACCTCTGGAAGATATACAGATGAAATTGTCAATGTTGGACCCCTGCAGATAGGGGACCAGTGTACACAGAAGGAGTAGGAAGAAATACTGTTCAATAAATAGACTTTTTATCTTGTAAATTTTGAACCACGTGAAATTATTACTATATCAAAAACATAGTTGAGCTAGTCATGGTGGCACACACCTGTAATCCCAGTGGCTTGGGAGGCTGAGGCAGGAGGATTGCAAAATTCAAAGCTAGCCTCAGCAAAAGCAAGGTGCTAAGCAACTCAGTGAGACTTATTTTTAGAAAAGAATCCTCTGGCTAACGTATAGAAAGCAGATTATAGAGGGCAAGAATTTAAACATATATAAAGATATATATAGATGCACACCTACACACATTCCCCGTTATATATTATATACACATGTATAGGAAAAGCTGAAGCCAGGTTAAGGAGCACCTTAACTGCTGGTGGGAATTTTCTTTTTCTAAAAGTATGAAGAATCATATAAATCTATGCATTAAATTATTCTGGGCCAGTGTGGTAGTGCACACCTGTACACCCAGCAACAAGGAACCAAGGAAGGAGAGTCACAAATTTGAGGCCAAACTCTGCAACTTATCAGGACTATCTCAAAAAAAACAAAAAGGGCAAGGGATGTTGCTCAGTGGTAGAGCAACCCTGGGTTTCTGGGGGGAAAGGAAAAAAGGCAACAGAGCAGTAGGAGGACTATGGAATCCAGGGAGGAAGCTGTTTCAATAAACCCAGCTCCCCCAGAGCTCCTCCTGCCCAAAATCCCAATGACAACAAATAACCTAAAAATATTAAAAAAGCATGAACTATTGTGTGTCGGGGTGGTAGGGGCACTCGTATTTGACTAGTAGTGGGTACAATCACAAAGATGAAGCCAAAGATAGGATGTGTTTGAACTACAAACATGCTTCATAAAGAGGTGAAATTGCCCTCTCAAGAGGGAAAAAAAGGGGCTGGAGATGTGGCTCAAGCGGTAGCGCGCTCGCCTGGCATGCATGCAGCCCGGGTTCGATCCTCAGCACCACGTACAAACAAAGATGTTGTGTCCGCCGAGAACTAAAAAATAAATATTAAAAAATTCTCTCTCTTTAAAAAAAAAAAAGAGGGAAAAAAGCCTAAAGAAGTTGTGGAAGGCTGTTTTACCAAGGTTTTCTATAAAGAAGAAATTGCTGCTACATGAAGAGGGAGAGAGGCTCTCCTCAAGTTTTATATCTTGACTGTTGAACTCTGCTCAGTAGTCAGGGATAAGGTTATAAAGTGCTTTTTCTACCTAGGACAATGCTCACCTTAGACTGGTATTATAAATTTGAAACTGTACTATTAAAAGCTAACTTTAAGAGTGGGATGTAGCTCAGTGATAGCACATCTATCTACCATACATAAAGCCCTAGATTCAATTCGTAGCACTGGGGAAAAAAAAACAAAAAAAAAAACCTAACTTTTTAATAGTGCCAGTCTCTCAAATTTTACAGATAAGAAAACTGTAGACAATGAAATATTTATTGACATATAGGCCTTTCAATATTTAATGAACAGAAATGTCTCTTTCAAACCAGTTTACTTTCAGAACAATTGAAAAGAGTATCTTTGACTCACTGTATATTTGATTCCCTCCAGAAATCTGTGGTGATACTGGACATGCTGCATTTCATCTTCTGGGTTGGAAGCAGTATAGATCATGCCACAAGATTTACAAATAGTAGCACCAAAATGTTTCTGACCTGCATCCTGCAATAGAAGCAGGGGAAGAAAGCAAAATAGAATGAAGAGACCTAAAAACACAATAATCTCATCAAAGTAACAAAATTTTCTCTTTGAGTGGACAGTGTAAAAAACACATGATTCTTTACTAGACTCAATAGTTCTAAGGAGTAAGAGTAAGTTACAGAACATAGCTAAAATGAACAATGAAATTTTTTTCTTTTTTCGATACTGGGGATTAAATATAGGGACACTCCTAGCAAACTTTCTCTATGACAACATCAGATGTAAATATTTTAGATCTTTCAGGACACACATGGTTTATTACATACTCTTTTTCCAAACCTATAAAAATGAAACAACTACTTTTAGTTTACAGGTCATGGCCTATGACCAGTTTGCCAAGCCAAGATCTAACTCAACGTACCTATTCCAATTAAATTTTTTGCTGATCAATAATTTTTCTTAATTGGAAACAACTCATTCATCAGCCTTCTACTAAAATACTAGCATTGCCCAACACTATCAGTTCAAGTTTATTGACAAGCATAAATGTAACCACTAGAACAAAATTGACATTTACAAAATTCAGAATATCTATAACCCAAGTTACTATGCTAAGATAAAAGTATAACTTTATGTTATACATGCAAAAGCCACATGTGAGAAGCTGTGTTTCAAATTTACTCACAATGATGAGCTGGGCATTTGTTTCTTTATTTGCATCTCTGATATTCAGATTTTTCTGTATGTTGGTCTGTTTCAAGAAATCAGTACAGCTGATGGATCCCACAGAAGACTGTTCTTCAACGAGAGATCTTCAAATGGTAGGTTGATAAATATTACATAAAGATGAGAAATATTAGGGTCAGTAATGCATTCCAGGGAACAGAACAAGTAGTGGAAGTTTTAAGACTTAAATCTTGGTTTCTAACAGCAAGCCCAAGGAACTTTTCTCACCAGTATCAGATGCCATTGGAGAATCACTTTGGAAATTGACTTCACCTTGCTTTATCAAACCCAAATACTTACCCATGTAAGAATAAAGAAATCCCTGGGGTACCATAGCAAATAAGTGGATACTAAAACTGAATCTCATGGACCAATAAGCAACCACAATCACTAATGTATTAGGATCCAACAACTTTTTACTTGGGTACTCTTCCTCATGACGAGAGCAGTATCCCAGTACTTGGAAATTTTAAAGAAAAAGAAATTTTATTTTTAATAAATGTAATGAAGCTATCTTTAAGCATTAGGGAAAAATGTTGGGATTTGGCTCATAAGGCCCTCAGACTAAATCCCACAACCAGATAGATACATTTTGGTTGTTTCATATGGTATTCAAAGCTTTGGATTAGCCACCAGTATTTTAAAATCTAGAGAATTCACTTAAAATGTATATTCCCAATATTTAAGAGATACTAAAAGATCACTAGTTCTCTATTCCTTTAAAGAATATACTAGTCTGGGTGTGATGGTACATGCCTGAAATCCCAGTGACTCAAGAAGCTGAGGTGAGCCACTGAGATGACGATGGTTATGTTAAGCTGTGTATTCAATTGTGTATTATACCCCTGCTGTCCTCCTAGGCCTGCTACTTTGGAGTTCTCTTGGGGATTCCTGGAGAGTTCGCATTGGTTGGGGAAGTGCAGGAGGAGGGATTTTCCGATTTTCTGGTTGGTGGTTGCTGGAAGGGCCGAGTGGGGGGTGTTCGTGGGGGGTGTTCGAGGAAGTTCGGGCAATAAAGGAGTTCCTGTTTTGAACCTACAAGCTCCTCGTGGAGGCTCCGTTATTTTGTGCCCAGCCAGACTGCGGCAATTTCAAAGTCAACCTCAGCAATTTAGCGAGGCTCTCAATAACTTTGGGAGACCCTATTTCAATAAACAAAAAGGGTTGGGGATATAGCTTAGTGGTAAAGCATTCCTATGTTCAATCCCCAAAATTAAAAGAAAACAAAAACAAAAACAAAAACAAACCTACTAGTTGGAATCAAATAGCACTTGTACTTTCAAATGAAGCATGCATTTTCCAGTTGGTCCAGATTCCTGCCCAGCCTGGCAAGGTCTATAGGTATTGAGTTTGTAATCTTTGCCTTTTAATGAAAGGATTCTGGTTTCCCAGGGACCAAAAGGTATAGAAATTGTCAGAGAAAAGTAAAAGTAAATTGTAAGGGGGAAAAAAGAAATGCCCAAAACAAAAATGTTCAAATAAAAAAACTGACAAATAAGAAAATGGAAAAAAACCACAACTATTTAATGCTTATTTAAGTCAAGCTATCTTGTTATCATTTGAAAAGGTAAGGTTTTCAAACTGATTGTGACAAACCTATACTAACAAATTAATTTTACGTTACAATCAGTACAGACACACAGCTAAAAGAGTTTCACTAAATACACTTGCTATAGAGATACAGCATTCCAGTTAAAAAATGCTGGATATGACACTCTTAAGAGGGTGTGACAAAAGACTAAATTGGTTGCTACCCACAGTATGAAAAACATTTGCTAGGTCAACGAGGTTAGTGGCTCTTGTGCCTTATAAAACCTTTGCTATGTAGTTCTCCTTGGCCCTTCATGCATGATTGCAATCTCTTCACTTCTGTCTTACGAACTATATTTTATCTATTGTATGTATTTATTGACCTTATTATATTTATTTGTTTCAACACTTTTTCTCTTACAACCATAATTTCCTTGATAGCAGGACCATATTTATCTTTACATCTCCAGAACTCAGAATAAGTTCAAAGACACATAGTAGAATCTTTCTAAGTGTTTGTTAAATGAACAAATAAAACAAAAATAAAAAGACAATAATGTGAGACTATGTACCTGGAGAATCTATAATCTACTGAAGTAAAATAGATTAATCTATAAGTAATTGCTGAAATCTGACATTTTGGAGCCTACCAAAAAAGTAATTTCACATGATTCAACCAAGAGTATCCCAGTAACTCTTCTTGCTAGATTAAATTACTTTTATCAGCTGATTATGATAAAGCTTCCATCTTCAATGAGTCATGAAAGACGACAACGCAGGTAAGAAAAGGAAAAGGTGAGAAAAACTAAGAACATGACCTTTGATGGGGAAAAGTTGCCCACCCACACAAATCTGAGGCAATTTAAGGTAAGGTGCTCTATGGATAGAAGAACTTAGCTAGGAATTTCCTTCCTTAACATCTAGTTATTCATCATCAAAACGAGAGAGAAGAATCAAAGCTGCTTAGGAAGAGGATGTCCAGACTATAAGAAACTTCTTTATTCAGAGCTCTTGCCCTATCACGCTCTCTACCCACGCATGCCTTTCCTCACTGCAGTCTTTAGATCTGAACAGGACAGTAAAAGTTTCAGCTAGGATATTTACAATAGCAGTAAGGTCTCAAGTTACTTACTCCTCTGGCCAGTCATCTATAAAATGGGACAATAATGGTTCCTATATTATGAGGTTGTAAATGCACATTAAAATTTTAGCGACTATTAATCTATTGTTACCTATGGCAGGCAATAGAGGCTAATGGGATTTTGATTCAGACATGTCTTCTAGTCCTAGCTCTAGCACTGAATAACTGTGCTATTCACTAAAATTCGTGGCTTAAGTACTAAGATTTCCTCAGCTAAAAAATGGAATCAATAACAGTATTTACCTTTTAGTTTGTTCTGAAACTGATAGATATGAACAACTTATTATGGGCCCCATATTATATAATAATATTAACAATTATTATTATTCAAATCTATAAAGACCTTTTCCATCTCTAAACTCTAAAATCTTATGAAACTTCTAAGAAGCTGATTTCATTTCCTGTTCTTAATATTATTCTCCTATTCCCTTAACAGTGAAGAAAAAGTACTCTCCAAATTAAATAGCATAAGAAAAAAAGACTTGTACAACTAATAAAACTTGGATCAAAATAAGAACAATTTCTACCTTTTTGTATTGACTGAAGACGCACTGAAGATGGGATAAACATTGGACTCCAGAGAAACTGGCAAGGAAAAAAAAGGGCAAAAATTTGTATTACCAAATAAAAATCAAAGCATTAAACCCTAAAATTTTAAAGGTTAATAAAACCAAAATATTCATGTTACTTAACCTCAAAACTTAACCATAATAAAGACAGTATGTACTGGCAAAAGGAGACAAATAGATGGGTCAAAACAGAGAGACCAGAAATAGACCCACAAATAGATTCAACTGATTTTTGATAAGGAGGTAAAGGTAATTTAATAGAGAAAGGATAGTCTTCAACAAATAGTGCTGGAATTGGATGTCTGCATGCAAAAAAAAAAAAAAAATCACACATACTCACATCTTATATAAAAATTAAGTCAAAATGGATCACATATCTCAATGTAAAATACAAAGGGGTAGACTAAACCCTATGGCACTGGACTAAAGTTGGACATAGCAATATGAACTCATGCTAATATGTACAGATGGAGATGATGGAATCATGGGTATGTATCTTTTCTAGTTCTGTCTGCTCAGCTGGCCTAGAAACAACAACACTCTAATAGCAACAAGCACACAGAGTCCAGATCTTGGTTTCTACCACTGTGCTGCATCTCTAGCCCTCAGATCTTGGTTTCTAAATACCATTCTCCAATAAAAGTAACCAGGGTTCTGTGTAAGAACTTGATGATTCCAGTGCTGGGGTGGGCAGGAAAAATACAAGAAGAGCCTAGTATCTTGTAATGTTTAGAAAAAAGGAAATGCTCAAAAGACAAAAATATAAGACATGCCAAAGAGAACCGCGTTGAAAAGATCCCAATGGCCAAAGATGAATAATTTGAGCTCTAAAATAAATAATGTACTAGATTTAAACCCCAAATGTAAAATATTCATGAATATATAATGACATATATCCACAAGTTTATTTAAGTGACTGAATATACAAATTGAGAAAGAATAAACTTCCTTACAGTAGAATTTCAAATAGTATACAGTTATTTTAATCCCCACTGCTTCCTGAAAGGGGAGCCTAGACTTAGTGACTAGCTTTCAAAGACTAGAGTATGAAAAAGAAAAATGTTATAGAGGAGAAACCTGGCAAACATGACCTGAACCTGGTGATAAAGACTAATGGCACCAGTGATGTCATGTGGCTATCATGTACCCCTGATATGCTGGTAAAAAGCAAACTTTAACCTTGCATTGAAAAACAGTGCTCTGGGGCTGGGGATGTGGCTCAAGCGGTAGCGCGCTTGCCTGGCATGCGTGCGGCCCGGGTTCGATCCTCAGCACCACATACCAACAAAGATGTTGTGTCCGCCGAGAACTAAAAAATAAATATTAAAAATTCTCTCTCTCTCTCTCTCTCTCTCTCTCAAAAAAAAAAAAAAGAAAAAAAGAAAAACAGTGCTCGGGTAAAAATGGGAGTTCATAACCCACTTGAATCTAATGTATGAAATATGATATGTCAAGAGCTTTGGAATGTTTTGAACAACCAATAAAAATGAATAAATTAAAAAAAAAAGAAAAAGAAAAACAGTGCTCACTCATGCTCTACAAATAAGGCTAAGATAGGCAAGTCTGATCTACTCTGGTAAGTTACTTAACCTAAGTCCATTTCCTCATTTATAAAATGAGCATAACAGAATCTATATCCTAGGTTTGTAAGAGAATACAATATTACACTCTAGTTACTGTAGTTATTTGTGTAATACTTTGATGACTTTTGCCATATCCTTTTCTATCTGTAAGATCTTTATTTGCTAAAAATTTTTCTTTAAATTGACTTAGATAATATACCACAAGTAATTTATTTATTTAGTTATTTATTTTTTGAAAACCAGGGATTGAACTCAGGAGCACTTGACCACTGAGCTACATTCCCAGCCCTATTTTGTATCTTTCTTAGAGGCAGGGTCTCACTGAGCTGCTTAGAACCTCACTTTTGCTGAAGCTGCCTTTGAACTTGCAATCCTTCTGCCTCAGCCCCTGAACTGCTGGGATTACAGGCATGCACCACGATGCCCAGCAAGTAGTTTATTTTAAAAGAAAAATGTATGAATATTTAGAAGACATTATTTTTCTGTTATATCTTCTATTAATTCAGGGCAGGGGGGAACACAGAACTTTTACTAAATACTGTCTAGGACATATTCAGCACTCAGTAAATACTAGTTTTTAGCTTTATGTCTCAGAATTATAATGAACAATTATTCTATGTATATTAGATCTTCTAAGGGATGTTGTTACAGATTATATCTTTATTTTATTTCTTTTTATGAGACATTTTCTCACTCATCCAACATGTCTACTTTTAGTATTTTCATTCACTTTCAAATCTATAGATATAACCAATGAGATGAAATTACCAAAAATGCTAATTTCTCTCTCTCTCTTTTCCTTTTTTTTTTTGGTACTGGGGATTGAACTCAGGGACAAGTAATTAAAACTTCTAAGTAAATAAATAAAAACTCAGGGGATTACAGGTGTGTACCACCACGATGGGCTGATTAATTTATTTATATTCTCATTTACTAAACAGTTTAGTAAATACTGTTTAGCAATGTCACTGTAAGTTAATGAGAGGGTTTCAAAACTAAGAGGAATTTAAAACCTCTTACTTTAAGGATCCCTTCCCAGATCACATAGCTAACAAGCACTAGACCTAGATAAGAGCCCAGGATTGCAGGGTCATTTCTATGGCTTAGTTCTGCTCACAACTAGGCCTGATCCCAGTTACAAAAACCAAACTGTTTTACTCCTTTCTACTATTTTGGGTAGAAGACAGGGTATGATTTTATTATCCCACCCTGCAGAGCGCAAGTAATTTGGCCACAGTTGTTTAGTATTCATTTTTTTTAAAATCTATAGTTTTGACTTAAAATCTCCCGTCTTCTGCTTTTCAAAACACACTGTTCTACTAGACCACAGAAACACTGTACTACTAGACCACAGAAAATAGAGCCAGAGAGAAAAAATAAAAAGATACTAATAGGAGGCACATTAGGGGGAAAAAAAATCCAGAAAATATTTTTATATGAATTTCACATTGACACATATAATAAAGAGTTAATACAAGTATCTAACTCATCTGAAAAATTTTCTTACTTACCTGTCTTGTTCTCACCAAGAGAATCTTCTGGTGAAAAATGCTTATTTTCATCAAGTTTATATTCCTTTGAAGAAACTACTTCACCTAATGAATCCTGAAAATAATAATCAAGTAAAAAAGTAAAGAAAATCTATAATTCTTAGTTGTTTTCTATTTAGTGAGTGGATCCTAACAAATGTTTGTAAAAAAAATTAGTGCATTATGAATTACATTGCACAAAGTGATTTTTAAGTCTTCAATTTTCAGTCTACATATCACCTTTTTAAAAGTCAGAGTACAGGGCTAAGGATGTAGTTCAGCAGTAGAGCCCTTTCCTAATATATGCAAGGTCCAACATCAATTCCCAATATCACACACACACACACACACACACACAAGTCAGAGTACACATATTGTAATTTGTTTTCCTTGTCAAAAATGTAATATTTTCCCAGATAAAGATGGATGTCTTTTTTGATACAAGGAATTGAACCCAGGAGCCCTTAACCACTAAGCCATATCCTCAGCCTTTTCAAATATTTAGAGACAGGGTCTCAAGGAGCTGCTTAGGGCCTTGCTGAGTTACTAAGGCTGGCCTTTGAACTTGCAATCCTCCTGCCTTAGCCACCGGAGCCACTGGGATTACAGCTGTGCCACTACTCCTGGCCACCCAGATAAAGATGGCAGAATAAAAATTATAAACCACACTTCCATAATAATAAAATGAAAAGAATTAGTAAAATGGCAAAAATTTCTCCAGAAGCCACTAAACTGAAAAGGTACAACTTTTTGTTATTGACTTTAAAATGATTAGCCAAGGAAAGAAAAATAACATTGTGGAGTCACTGGAGAGGTTTCTCCCACAAAGGTTCCCACTTTTTGAATAGTAGCACAGATATGGTAAAGTAGAAAAAAGCCTGACAAATTTTACTAATACTAATTTGGAGAGACTTGGGGAACATAAAACTTGTGGAGGGGAGAAAAAACTCTTGATTAAAGCAGAACTCTTACTCAAAACCATAGTATCTCAGCAGAGGTAGAAAATCTATTAGTTTGCCAAAGGCTCCATAATGAGACGGGGGGAAAAGAGATCTTTATACCCTTTCAGATTTGAATCCTAGCAGTGGCTATTTAATGAAATCTTAAGAGACAATAGAGCCCAGTTGTACAAATTAAAGATAGACAATATTTCAGCTTCTCAGACTTTTGAAAACTGAATACCCAGTCCCTTGCAGTGAAGCTCAGAAAGAAAATGAATTTTATCAGTTCATCATAGGAAAACTGTCAAATCTTCATAATAATGTAGATAGCAATCAGTGGGAGATGGGTAAGGAAACTGCACTCTACTTGTTTTGTTATATTGAGACCTTATTAGTTGTACCCAGAGTTTTTTAAAAAATGAAGGCAAACTTATATATAGTGAAATGCATAGGTATAAAGTGTACAGTTCAACGAATATTGATAAACTTACAGATCTATATAACCAAAATCTACACAGGGATATTTTGTTGTAGAAATAGAACACGAAGAATTAATGGAATTAGATTGTCATGGCTTAGCCAACATATCATCTCACTTAACAATAAACTTTTTTTTTTAAGTATTTATTTTTCAGTGTTTGGCAGACACAACATCTTTCTTTGTATGTGGTGCTGAGGTTCGAACCCGGACCACTCGCATGCCAGGCGAGGGCGCTACCACTTGAGCCACATCCCCAGCCCAACAATAAACTTGACAATACTTAAGATTGACAAGAAGAAACATTTACAGTAGGGATTACAAATTTAAATGCCTATAAGGGCAGCAGGTAAGTGAAATTGATAGCAAAACTGAATTGACTGGCCAGGCATCATGGTGCACACCTGTAATCCCAGGAGCTCAGGAGGCTGAGGCAGGAGGATCATGAGTTCAAAGCCAGTTGTCAGCAAAAAGCAAGGGGCTAAGCCACTCAATAAAATACAAAATAGGTCTTGGGCTCAGCAGTCAAGTGTCCCTGAGTTCAATCCCAAGAACCAAAAAAAAGAAAAACACAACTGGAAAACTAGACTGATTTAAATATATAATACATACACTGACAGTGAAGGGAAATAAAAAACACTATCTGTCAAAGAGGATGAAATTCAGCTCTGAGAGATTATTGTCATGTAGAAATGAGAAATCAGAAAAGTTTTCTTGCATTTAAAAAAAATTTGAATGAAATTTTCTTAATTACGTAGTCCAAGCAAAACATCCATGGGCTAGATTTGATCCACATAATCTTTGCCACTGAGTTTTGAACTATGGAATACTACAGGAGATAAATATTGAGGTTGAACTTGAGAGGAGGCAGTGAAGATGACAATGATGAGACATGGATTAGGGAGGAAATGACTATGAGTTTGAATTGCTGGTAAAACATATGATCCTCACACCATATGGACATTATACAAGCCTATCATTTCTTCAGCTGTAAGGGTTGAGCTAAGTATAAATGACAAGGCAGAGATGGAAGCCCTGAACTGGGAGACAGCCTTTCTGAAGCCTATTGCCTATAAGTTTTGGCTCATCATATTCCTATTAGATAGCACAAATCTATACTACCGGTGTTAATATGAGAAAGACCAAACAAAAAGGCACAGAATGGCAACTGTGAAAACATAGTATACATAAAATAAACAAAAATTGGGCATGGTGGCCCACACCTTTAATCTCTGCAGCTCAGGAGGCGCGGGAGGATCCTGAGTTCAAAGCCAGCCTCAGCAAAGGCGAGGCGAGGCGAGGCGCTAAGCAACTCAGCAATTGAGTGCTGCTGAGTTCAATCCCCATATCCCACCCTCCCCAAATAAATAGATAAACCCAAAATCCATCTATAGATCAACAGTGATCATTTCTAGTTAGTAGGACTATTGAAGGCTTTTTAAAAATATACTTTCTGTACTTTAAAATTTCTAGAGTAACCTACTTAATCAATAATGAGCTAAAACGAATAAACAAAACCAACATACTTACACTTTAGAAAAACATTCCCTGAAGCAGAATAAGGGATGTCTTATCTTTCCCATCCTGCCTCTAAATTCTTTACCCTATCTATCTGGCTTCATAAGAGCAGCCTTACATCCAGCAACTAAGGAGGCCAAGGCAGGAAGATCTCAAGTACAAGGCCAGCCTCAGCAACTTAGCAAGGATCCAAGCAAAGTGAGACCTTGTCTCAAAAAAAAAAAAAAAAAATTTTGCTTAATGATGTCGTTATTTATAATGAAATTTTGTTTAAAAGCCAGCTTTTTTTAAAGTGATGTGTTTAGCTTTCTTTACCTTTATTAATTCCTCTTCATCTTTACTTTTTGCACTCAGCTCCACATTCAATTTCTTTTCTATCAACAAGCACTTTGGCACTTGACTTTTCACAAAAGTTTTTCTTTCACATACAGTCTCTATCTCAGACTTTTTAATCACTCCTGGTTTATTTTTAGGGGTGAGTTCCAGTGATGGCTTATTTTCCAGAGGCAATTTTCTAAGAGAAAGTTTTTTTCTACTAACAAAAAATGCTGCTCCACCCTGGAGTGTAACTTGTGGTTTTATTTTTTGGCTTAGAACCCTAGGAGTATTTGGATTATTTTCAGCTAAATAACAATTATTCTCTTTTTCCACAACTGGCTTATAGGACATCCGATTTTGCTTGGAATGCTTAGCATTTCTTGATATAGGCTTGATGTGCTTATAACTTGGTTGATACTTAGCAGTTAAACTCTTCTGTGTTTTCTTATTCTTCTTCTTGGTGCAGCTTGGTCTTCCCTGTATTTTTTCTGTCATTCTGGGAAAAGATTTATCTTCATTATTAGTTTTTAGGTAAGTGGATCTAGTCTCTCTTACCAGCTTTCTCTCCAGTGGATTAAGATACCACTTATCTTTATTGTCTTTATTGTAAAAAGATACAGTGGGTACAGCAGATTTAAATGGTGAGCTATGACTTGCAGATGGCAATCTGTTTTTTTTAATTGTCTTGAGTGGACTTGAAATGAAATGGCCTTTTTGAGAAAAATATAGCTTTTCTTCACTTTCATCACTGTTTTGACAATTATACTTTTTACTAGGTGATGGCAACAGATTTTCTGTAAAGTCCATAATTAACTTCTTTGATGAAGATAATAAGCTATGAAAAGAAACAAAGTCCATTTGTAAGTTCATTATTTTGCTTCAAAACTTATATAAATTTACTGATAAGTAATATTTCTATGTATAGGTCATATCAAAAATAATAAAACTCTCTAAGCCACTCATGAAGACTATTAGTTTAACAGTAAGAGTCTTAAATTCTGTGTTTATCAAGTATTCAAGTAACTTCCCAAAGGTACTAATAATGTTCATGAAAACAAATGTTTCCAAAAAAGCTTTGATATGTTCCATAATCAATTTCTATGTTTAGACCATATAAATTATAGCCCATATATTTTACTTAATTGGTGATCAAAGACTCCCCAAATGATTATTTCTCTGTAATAAACAATCCCTGGCATTTTCTGTGGAGAGTAATTTGTATCTCTGGTATGGCATGTAGTTGAGTACCAACTACAGTATTCCCCTCTTATATCAGTGAGATGCATCCCAAGTTGCCTAGTGGATGCCTGAGACTACACATAACTAAATTCTGTATAGACCATGTTTTTTGGTATACACATACACCTATAAAAAATTTATTGTATAAATTAGACACAATAAGAGATTAACAATAAAAAGGACAATTATAACAATATACTATAATAAAAGTTATGTGAATGTGGTCTTTTCCTCAAAATATCTTACTGCACTGTACTTATCTTTTGCATTTAATATTTTCAGACAACACATGATTACAGATAACTAAAATCTTGAAAAGCAAAACCAGACACAGCAGGGTGGGTGGATCACTATATACAGACTTTCTGGCACAGTTTACAGATGAGCCTCTCTACTCTATGCAAAACATTATGTTCCAAGTGAATAGAAAGGAGCCAGTTGCAGTGGCCCAGGCCTGTAATCCCAGCAGCTATGGATGGCGGGTTCAAAGCCAACCTCAGCAACTGCGAGGTTGCCCTAAGCAACTCAGTGAGACCCTGTCTCTAAGTAAAATACAAAATAGGGCTGGGGATGTAGTTTAGTGGTTGAGGGCCCCTAAGTCCAATCCCCTGTACTCAAAAAAAAAAAAAAAAAAGTGAACAATGAAATAAGAGATTTACCATACATCTTAGCCACAGAAAACGGCATTCTTCTTCTATTCTCTCCAAAAGAACTAAATAATTCACTTTAAAAGTTTACTGTATTTTCAAACTAGAATTAGAATATAAAATACTACTGTAACCAAAGAGGCATTTTAATAACAGAATTAAGAATTTAGGAAATAGGAGAACACAAGGTCGAGTTTTCTTTTTTAAGAATTTCTATGCATAGGATGAGACTCACCTGTCACAGTTCACAGAAGGCCGATTCCTCTTCCTTGGAGTAATAGTTGCCATCTTAATTGAATTCCTAAAAGCAATTAAGTCAATGCTAGTAACCAAATTCATCAAATGGGTATAACAATCACGTCAAAATTAAATTTTAAAAGGCTGAAAAAGGGCTCAGAGGTGATGCCTGTAATCCCAGTGGCTGGAGAGGCTGAGGCAGGAAGACCTTGAGTTCAAAGTCAGCCTCAGAAACTTATGGAGGCACTAAGCAACTCAGTGAGACCCTGTCTCTAAATAAAATACAAATATAGGACTGGGGATGTGGCTCAGTGGTTCAGTGTCCCTGAGTTCAATCCCCAGAACAACAACAACAAAAAAAGGTAAGTGATGGTCTAGAAAATCCAAGAAACAGATTTTTTTTCCAAGGCAAATTACGTTTAAACCATGAATTTAAAAAGACAAATTATTTTAATAAAGGTTTAAACCATAAATTTTAAAAACAGTATATTACACGACAGTAAGAAATATTTTTCACGCTGGAAAATGATCCTACCAAATAGAAAAGACTTTACTCTAAATCATGGCACTTTCCCCCTTAATTCACCTAATTAGGTGACCTTCCCTGACATTGCTCTCACTCCACCCCCCCCCCGCACTGTTTATCTAGTTCTCTGTTTCCATTGCACAGTATACTCCTTTAATATTCCATTTAGCCCATTTTCCTATTAACCATCTCAACAGCCTAAGCGTTCAATGAAGGCAGAGACCGACTGTCATTTTTCATCAGAGCCCAGCAGGAAAATGAGTGAAGTCAGCCCAAGAATTCGGGAGGCTGAAGTCTCAGATTGGAGGCCAGCCTGGGCAAATTAGCAAGGTCCTCAGCACAACTTATTGAGACCCCGTCTCAAACTTTTTAAAACTTAACAAGGGCTGGAGGTGTGGCTCCGTGGTAAAGCGCCCCTGGGTTCAATGCCCACTACCCAGGGAGGGGGGGAGGGGTGGTGAAGCCTAACCCTCCCCCAGGCTACCAGCTGAGGGGACCCCCGCAAGTCCTGCGGTGAACTCCTGCGGTGACCTCGGCAACTGACGGCACGCTGCTCAGCGAGCCTCCCTCCCTGCCTCCCCTCCCTTTGCCTCATGCATAGCCCACCCCCCAAATTACACCAGCAAGACTTTAGAGCTGGACAGAGAGAAGGACCGGGGTCCGTGGGACGCACGTCCAGATGCGCTCTGGGGAGCCCCGTTCTGGGGCCGAGAGAGGGGAGGTCAAAAAGAGCCCTCTCTGCATCTTGCCCGGGCAGCGCTGCCCACAACGCTGGCTTCGGAAGATGGAAACTGGTGCCCGCGAGCGCGGTCTCCAGCCCGCCAACCCGCCCGGCCCAGAGCAAAAGCTGTTCGACATTCACCCCGGTGTTCCACAGAGCGCCCGGCTCTCCTCCAGCCTCTACCCTCGCAGTGGTGCCCCGCACCCAGGTCCGGAGACCTCTCCTCAGTCCCGCAGTGGTCCCAGGAGCGCATTCAAATTAACGCGCGCCAGACCAGGCGGTCTCTGCTGCGTTCCGATTCGTCGCCGCTCAGCGCTTCCAGGATGGGCTCGATGATTGGTCGCTCACTAGCCCTTGCCCCGCCCTCCAAAGAGGCTGTCTCCAGGATTCTCCCGCCCTTGGGAGGCTAAGAGCTCTTCCCTCCGGGAAACCACGCCTCCCTCAATCTCCTGCGACAACGGGGCGTTCCATTTTCGGGACTCTTCGAGATGCATTGTGGGAATTGTAGTTTTAGACCCGTTGTGGTCTAAAAAACGAGGTTAAAAAAATAAAATTGTGGAGCCACTTAGTGGAAGTAGCTTTTGTAATCGCTCCAAGATTTTCCAGGCACATATTTTTTCGCATTTGAAATTTGATCATTACTTTCACCTTTTTTAAAGTCAATAAAATTTTAGGTTCCTATTTCACTTTTTTATTCTTCAAGTTAAATTTATGAAGTCCAATCTGGGTACAAGGATCTACTTCGTAAGCATTCTCGGTTGTTTTATGTTTTGTTTCGCTTACTCCTCACCGCAGTCTATGAGGTATGTATTATCATTCCCGTTTTACAAAGAATAAAACCTGAAAAGAATTACTATTTATGGAACATGGTAGGTTCCTGCTTTGGGAAACAGGAAGGTTCCTAATGTTAGACGAGGAAAGAAAAGACCACTGACTCCAATTAAAATCAAATTAAAGCAAGTTTATTATTTCCACCGGCTGGGCTGCCTCTCCCTCCCAAAACGGCAGGAACAAGACAGCCAAAATTATCTTTTCATGGTTTTGTGGCGAGATGCCCAATTTTAAGAAAAGATCAGGTTGGGTCTATCACCTAAAGCTCTGTTATATTTGTGTCACTAGTTCATGGTATTCTGTGGCACATTTTCAGTTCTAAATAAACTTAGATAAGTGATGAGAAGAATTGTCAAACACAAAATTAACAGAAATTTAATTATGGATTTCATTGACTTTTATTCGTGATTCATGAATTGAGCAGCCTCTAGTTTACAAAACAGAATGAAAACGCTCACTGGGAAGTAGCAAAATATTGGGTTTTGAAAGATAGAAACAAGAATGTAGAGCAAGAGGAAAATACTGGTGAACACAAAGTTACCTCAAGGTCTTGTTGTAAGGGTTAAAGTGGAAGGAAGAGTTCTTAGGCAGGATCCCTGTAGACTAGGGTCTCCTGTTTTCAGGAAAGACTGCTGTGTTTGGGGATCTATCTGCTTCCTTAAAGCTTCAGTGTCTGTGGCATTTAGCACCTGGAACTTCATTTTGGTTTGGTCTGGTCTGTTGGGGCTTAATGAAGAAGCAGAGTTCAAAACAATGACCTTTCAGAATTTTTGTTTATGAGAAGAAAATTAATTAAATCAAAACTAAGTACTGGGCTGCCTTGGTGGTGCATGCCAGTAATCCCAATGGCTCAGGAAGCAGGGGAAGGAGGATGGCAAGTTCAAAGCCAGCCTCAGCAGTTTAGCGAGATGCTAAGCAACTCAGTGAGACCTTGTCTCTAATAAAATACAAAATAGGGCTTGGAATGTGGCTCAGTAGCAGAGTACCCCCCCCCCAAAAAAAACACAAAAAACAAAAAAAAAACACCTAAGTGCTGTGAGAGATTCACATGAAATGATTATTCCCACTTACAGCAAGAGGACCTCTGAGGTTCAGAGGTTTGGCATTTGCTTGATCTCATAGGTAATAGATGCCAGACCTTAGATTTAAAGTCAGAATAGTCCAAACCCCAAGAAGCAATATGAATATCAATAACAATTAATTTGAGTGATCCCTACATTCTAAACCCTTGATGCCTATTAACTGGCTTAACCCTAGCAAAATATCTGGAATTAATTTCTCTATTATCATTTGTATTGGGGAGATTCAAAGAAAGTGAAGTACAGAGTCTAATATGCCCAACATTTACCTTACAAGCAATGGAGCTTGAAGGATACAGATAATAAATTCAAGGACATTTTCCCTAAGCTTTTGTCATTTAAAATCCCAGGCCCAAGCCAGAGCACAAAAAGAACTCTTACCAGACTGTCACCTGACTCAATTCAATAAGCCCCAGGGGATTTCCTATCCACCTTCCTGTTCCACCCTAAAGGAAGCTCAGACCCTTTATTCAGCCTGAGCCATTTTCTGCCCCTAAAATGAGCCGAGCCAGGCCTTTTGCCACCAATAGACCCCGCCACTAGAAACTGCTGATCCCAGGTTTGCTTCCAGTCTCCCACCTTTGCCACGTGTGCATGATTTGTCCTAAAAGAGCTAGAACGAGATTATGTTCAATAAGGTTATTATACTTGTTAAAGTATGTGAGAATTTAGAAGTTATGCACTGTGGCAGAGAGATGGATGGAGCTCAACTCCAAATATGGGGTGGGCAAGCGAGACGACAGCCGATATGCAGGCTGGAGGTCAGTGGGTAGAAAATCACCAACGGGACACATCAGGATCAGGGGTAGGGAGGGTTGTGGCTAAGCTGCCCTACAGGATTCTTGCTCTAGACAGTCCTAGGTGATCAGAGACTACCCGGGAGGTGATGGAAGGTAGGTGCCAGGAGGTTCCAGATAAACTGACACAACAGAGGTCTTTGCTAAAACTGGATTTTACAAGGGAGTGCAAGATGGGCCTAGTAGAAAAATCAGAAATTTAAAGTTTGGCGAAGGAATTTGGGTTCACTTAAAATGGAGTGTAGTGAACTCCTATTAGGCACCACACTGCGTGATCAGCATACCCCTTGCTGTGAAAAAGCAGTTTCTGCTTTCCTGAAGCCCAGGAAAGGTTGAGGGGAGGCGGATAAAATCTATAAATATCCCTCTAGATACGAATGCGCACTGGACGTAGGCTCTGGAAAGATCTGCCAATAGCATTTTTCCTTTTAGACTTTAAAGAAGACGTCGAGTTTTCTAACCACAAGTTGTTCTGCCTCCCTCCTCCCTTCCTCAACCCTCAGGTGACTGGCGCCCGGCTAATGCCACGCCGCCGCGCCAGGATTAAAGATGGCGCCCACGGGACGGCGTTATGACGCGATCTTACGTCCGCCGGAAGTGCGCGCGGGAGTTCCGGGGAGCAGGCGGGCGCCGCGCTTCTGGGGTCCTGAGCTTCGAGATTTGAGTCCTGCTGCTGGGTTCTGGGGTAGTCGCACGGCCGTCGGGATCATGGTGTTCTACTTCACTAGCAGCAGCGGTGAGTGGGCGCCGCGCCTTCGCGGGTCCCTGCCGGCAGCTGGCTGAGGAGGCTGCCGCTTCCTTGGACGTGGTCCTGTGGCGCCTCCTCGGCGACGGCGCCCCTGCGGTCCCCCTGCGCATTGGTCCCTTCGGCTACCCTGGCGTCCCCGGGTGTCCCCTGGTCAGGGCTGGGAGGGCGCGGAGGGGCTGTGCCCTTGCGGTCTTTGCGGCCGGGAATCGTCCTCGTCCGTCAGTCCGGTGCTCCTTGGAGTTGGGCAGAGTTCGTGGGCATCCTCACGTCCCCGCACGCCGAGCCTCTCCCCTGCTCCTGTGGCCTTCATCCTGGCTGCAGTCTGGCAGTGCTTCCCATTGAGAAGGAGACGTCGGTCAGCGACTATTACAGGAAATGCACCTTACTCTTCCAGGAAGGGCCTGGGACGCAGCGCGGAGCGGTAGGCTGGAATGTCCATAGCAGCCACTCACTGGGCAAGAGTGGATGTTCCGGTTTTTGAAAAATGACACCCTGCTCCTGATTTGGTTTTGGCAGGCAAGGAAAAGGTGCTTGCCAAAATGGTATAGCTCCATTTAGTTTCTGTGCACATGTTGTTCCTTTGGTCTAGAATAAGTTAATTCTTATTCTATTAAGATAGCTCTGAATATCTTTCCCAAGATGCCTTTCCTAACTTAGCGTCCAGGAATTGTTTCTCTCTTCTGGGACCCCCCCTTAACATCCCATGTATTCCTTTTGCACCGTATTTGTCTCATGGCGTTAAATGCTATCAGTTTGAGGTAGAGTGTAAGCCCCTGGAGGACAGGGGCCTGACTTCGCATAGTGCCTGACTCATAATTGTTCTCAATAAATGTTGAGTCAAATAATGGCATTTTATGTCTTACTCATAGCACTCTGTTGCTACCCCATGCTTACTTGTAAAAGGGGAGCTTCTATTTTATTTTCTGGGTTAATCCCAATTTTATTACCTGCTTTGAGTAAAATAAACATGACCTATAAAAGTCATCCACTCTTGTTTAAACAATACTTATGGAATGATGCCACTGTCATGTTTCGTTTCACAAGTAAAAATGAGGAAATGTATTCTCCAGAGATGTACTTCAAGAATGAACCACTGCTAAACTCACACATACTATATATATATATGTGTGTGTGTGTGTGTGTGTTTACATACATATATAAAACTTCTGTCATTTCTTTCTATACGAATTACTTTGTTGTCAATTGGCCTTTATTTCATTTATTTATATGTGGTGCTGAGAATCGAACCCAGTGCCTCACACATGCTAGGCAAGTGCTCTACCGCTGAGCCAAACCCTAGCCCCTACGAATTACTTTGTATCAGGCTCTTCCTACCACTTAGATTCAATATGACTTCCTTACATTAGGAAGTTTCAGGAGACATTGAAACTACTTGTTACAAATGACAGCTGTCTTGTATTTTTCACATTCTCAGATTTTCAATGTAGTGTGCATTTTTACGAGTAATCACTGAAGACTTTTGCATATCTCTTCTGTCAAAGGTAGTGCCTTCCTTTACATCTGTGAATTGAATAGACCTGACTATAGTCATTCCCACATGCTTTGTGTTAATATAAGTTCTCTCCCCTTGGCATTCTCAGGAGTGAAGAAAAAGTCTTGTGATAGTGAAGCATCCCACATTCTTGTGATAGTGAAGCATCCCACATTCTTTATTCAGGGTTCCTCTCCAGTGTGAATTCTTTTGAGCATGTGAAAGGACTGGATTGAGTGAAGACTTTCCCTCATTACTTACATATTCTCCAGTGTGAATTCATGCATGCCTTTGATAGAAGTGGAACATACATAAATTGCTTACATATAAAGGCTTCTCTCCTATGTGAATTAAAAAGTGAGCTTTAAGTTAGCACTATATTATTTGCGTGGGTTTTGATAGGGTGTACTTTGCTTTTAGAGATGAGGAAAATTGAAGCCCAGGGAAGTTATAACTTCCAGCCCTCTGCTTGTCCCATTCCATCATATTGTCACATTGTTACTTTTCTCACAGTTTAGACTTCTGTGCCTGCCATAAGCTATTTCTCTGCCTCTGTAGATTTGATCTTTTGAATCTTAATATTATTTAAACCTGTAAATAAATAAAAACTTACAATACTAGTATTGTAAGCTGCTGAGCATTTTCATCCTTCTTGAGGTATTATAAGTTCATACTCTTTATGGCTTCTTTACTCATGAGACTTCCCCAACACAATAGACATCCATTCTAGACCCGCAGCGGAATAAACAATACAGTCAGGGAATAAAGGTTGCTAAATATGTTTCACACTAGCTGCTTTATTTCCTTTAAAATATTCTAAACTCCTTTTAAGTGCTAATTGTGTATGCACAAGAGCCCTCAGTAGAACAGCATACTTTGGCAGATTTGTGGATCCTGTTATGTCAATGACTTCCATTTTAAGGTCAGAACTGCTTCCTGTTGGAAAAATATTTGGGCTAATTCTAATAAAATTAAAGTTGGCAGCAGATCATTGAAAATTATCAAGTTAATGTGAAAATAACTTTCCAGGAAAATTATGGTAAAACTTTACATATTTCCAATATAGAAAAAAAGTTGAACATACAGAATAGTTAGAAATCAGTTGGTATACATAAGCTAAAGGTTATTTCAACCAGCTAAAGATTAACTGCATAAAAATGGGAAATCTGTAGAAGGTTTTTTTGTTGTTGTTGGTTTTCCCTTTCCAACAGTGGTATCTTTGGCTAGAGTCTGTGTGATTTTTATTCTTTATATACTCTTTTATAATGGAACAATGAAATATTTGTCTTACTGTATTTCTAGCAAGTATAGGTAGTCTGTGGGCCTATAAATCAGATAGTCTTGAATTTTGAATTGAAGAATTATTTTGCAGAATGCTTTGTAGTATGAATTTGATGCAGTCATATTTCTAATCACCTCTTTATTAGATGAACCATCAAGACATTCCTCTCATTTTTTTGTTTCTAACTTAGCTTGGCCTAAGTTGTAACTTTTATTTCAGTTATTTTAAAAATTATTTTTGTTCCAGTTACAAAGGCCCTGTGTATACTTTATAAGCAAGCTACCTAAGGTAACTATTATTAACTTATGTATATTCATACACATAAACAAAATGTATATATAAACATATATTTGTAAACATCTGTATGTGGACACCATGATATATTCATTTATTTTTTACAAATTGAATCTTACATCTAGATTCACAGAAATACTATTCTGCCACTTAATTTCTTCTTTAATGGGCCCATGGTATTTTTAAGGACATTCTATAGTATATTTAACCAGTTTCTGCTATTCTTAGGTTATAACATGAACATCATTGCCTGGTGGAATATTTCAGTAGAATGTACTCCTAGCAGTAACATTATGGAAATACAAGAGTATACACATTAAATATTGCCAGGCTGTGTAGAGAGGGAACCTGAGAAACAGTTTAGTTTTATTCCTAGTCTTCATTTGTTGCATGACATGCTGAGGCCTTATTGCACTAATATAATGCTCCGTCAGACAAGTAGGTGTTCCTGTCAACTGGTCAATGCAAACATTCCCTCTTTTAAGTTGTCTTTCAACTGCTGTGGACTATAATCATTACAAATGCTAACTGGTGGAATTGGGAGTTTTCCCTCCCCAAGAAAAGCAACTAGTATTGATAATTTAAGAAGAACAAGCAATCTCTGATATAAGGATTTATATGAAAGATTATTGCTTTCTGCAATCTTTTCAAGCTTACATATATGTGTGTGTTCTTTTCTCTAAATTCTCCAGCCCAACCAACCCTGCACCCACAAACCCTCTCAGGCTTTGTAGACTGAATATTATTTTATAAGTTTAGATCCAGTGGGATCAAACAAGTTTAGAAACCCAGTATTGGTTGCAGTTTCAACAGAAAACTTGTTTTATTCCTGATCAAGGATGCCTGTATTAAAACACATTACCTCAGTAAGAAAAATGTCATTCTTAAACATACCCAGAATATTCTGTTTGATTTAGGATAATGTTTTTTAACCCTGACTTCATATTAGGATCTGCTTGGAAGTCTTTCAAAAACACAGATGCTCACCACTATGCCCTGGTAGTGGGAATTGGTTTGTCTGAGGCATAGCTGGGGCATATTATTATGCTAAATAATTAAGTTGACCAAGTATAGGAAACTGTCTTTAAATAATTGTGGTGTAGTTTGTTTTATTTTTTTTAACTTTTAAGGAAGGCAAAGAAAGGTATGGGAAATTGCCATTGAACTATATTCCTTAGAAAGTGGGAAAGTGATCGTTTAATAATGATTGATAATCTTTTCATTTTGGGGCTAGATAGTAAATATTTTAGGTTCTTTGAGCCATACACAGTCTCTAGAGCTTAATCTTTGTTTTCCTTTTTGTCAGCCCTTTAAAAATGTAAGTCTTTCTTAGCTAGAGGGCTATCTAAAAATGGATGGTGGGCCAGATTTGACCCATGGGCCATGATTTGCCAACCCCTAATCTGAGCATTTATCACTTCTTTTCCCCATGAAACAGGTTTTTGATGATAAAAGTATCTAATTTTTTTATGTTTGTTTTGTCATAGTTAATTCATCTGCTTACACTATTTACATGGGAAAGGATAAATATGAAAGTAAGTTTTCAAAAGCATTTGATTTTGAAATTTCCAGCAGGTAAGTGTTGTTGTCCCTGGACCCCCATTTATTGGATGAGTTTACTTTTTTAATTTTAATTAATTTTTAAATTTTTAATTGACAGATAATAATTGTGCATATTTATGGGGCACAGTGTTATATTTTAATACATATATACATTGTATAATGATCAAATAGGGGTTACATAGTTTATCCATTGCATCTGTTGACCAATCTCTCCTATCTTCCCCAGTCTCTGTTGACCTATGCTTCCTTCTATGAGATCAGTTTTCTTTAGATTGCACAGGGTGTGAGTTTTCAACTACTTTGATAAGTCAGCTTTTGAGAATTTATCACACCCATTTTAAGAACTCCTCCTAGAATTTAATCATATCAGATAATATTAGAATTAATTTGACTGTATAGCTGATTAGAAACTGAAGACTCTTATGGTGTCATTTGGCTTAGAGTAACATGAATCATGTTAGCCTGTACTAATTTAGATCAAATGAAAAATAGTGATTTGGACTTTTTGCAGGGAGAACCAGGTATTGAATTCAGGGGCACTGAGTCACATCCCCAGCCTTATTTTGTATTTTATTTAGAGACAGGGTCTCACTGAGTTGCTTAGTGCCTTGCTGTTGCTGAGCTGGCTTTGAACTTGTGATTCTCCTTCCTCAGCCTCCTGAGCCACTGCCATCGCACCTGGCTTGTGATTTGGACTTTGAAGAAAGCATTTTCTGTGTTTTTTTTTTTTTTTTAACAACTTAACGATTCATGGAAATTTATCTGTTGGTTGAAGATGTTCTTTCTAAGTCATGAAATGTTAACATTTTTTTAAACTTGTTGACTACTTTCTTCAGTATGAAGTACATAAAAAATTATATCTTGCTGTACATATTCCTTTAACTAGAACAAAAATTTACAGAAAATACCTGTACTATTTACTATTTGCTATGCCCTCTACATTCTTTCTTTCTTTTTTTTTTTTTTGGTCTTGGGGATGAACCCAGGTCCTTGCATGTGCTAGGTAGGTGCTCTGCCATTGATCTGCAAACGAAGTCTAGCCCTCTATTTCTGTTTTATTACATTTATTAAAAAAAAAAAGTAGTCTCAACATTTTGTGGCCCACTAATGAATCGGAACTAAACTTTAAAAAGAAAAACATTGCTTTAGGAGTTAGCCTTTTTGGCTTCACAAGTAAAGGAAGAAAACAAAGAAAAGCTGAGTTTGGTTTTGGTGTTTTTCTTTGTTTTTTTTTTTTTTTATTTTTATTGTTGTTTTGGTTGTGCTGGGCATGAAACCCAGCACACAAGCACATGCTACTACTGAGCTAAGCCCCCAGCACTAAGTTGAGCTTCCTTCCTTCCTCCCTCCCTTCCTTCCTTCCTTCCTTCTTTCCTCAGATTGAACCACTTAGCCATATTCCCAGCCCTTTTTTTTTTTTTTTATTTAGAGACAAGGTCTTGCTGAGTTGCTTAGGGACTTGCTAAGTTGCTGAAGCTGGCTTTGAACTCCTGCCTTAGCCATCTAAGCTCCTGGGATTACAGGTGTGCATCACTGTGCTTGGCTGAGTTGAGCTTTCTTGATTAGGAGAGCAGTGAGTTTACAGCACTGATCCTCAGTGTGTGGAACATCAAGGTGAAGGAGGTAAGACCACAGCAAAGAACTGGAGGAAACAGCATCAGCGTGCCTTAAACTTGGAAAGCATAGCTGCTTTCCTTCTGGGGTGCTGGGATGTTTTGGAAGAGACAGCTTTGAAGTCAGGCCAATCTAGGGTAAAATCTCCAAACTAGCTTTATCATTACTTAACCTCCTTGAACCTCAGATTTCTTAGATGTCAGAAGAGGCTCGTGGTTTGATAACTAACTTGCATAGTTGCAAAGACTAGCCACTGTGTGAGGACCATGTGAAGTCCTGAGTTATGGCCACACGGGGCACTCAGGAATTAGCAGTTGGTACCACTGGAGCTTCTATAGATCCTTCTTCAGCCTACTGCAGACATGGACTGGATGACTCTGCTTCAATAGTCAAGAGATAGCTTGACTAAAGTTCCTGCCTTTAATCTTCATGTGCTGCTTGCTTATTTTATTTTCCTTTCCCTTTCCCTTTGTAATCTATACTAGTGTCTGTTCTAGGTGTAGCTTGATTAAACTTCTTTGTGTGTGTGTTTGTGTGTGTGTGCTTGTGGTATTGGGGATTGAACCCAGGGCTTTGTGCATGCGAGGCAAGCACTCTACCAACTAAGCTATATCCCCAGCTCTAGAGAGGCTCATGTCCATTCTTCTGTATGAGGCATTTGACAGTAGTAAAATAAACAAGACCAAGAATCAATGCAAGCAAGACTATCACATCTTGAAGAAGAGAAAATCAAACCCAGCAAAATAAAATAATGTGTTTTGAAACAATTTTCACTCGTGATGAATTTAGGATATTGACTTTGGGCATGAGGTAATGGTGAAGTAGTTCACAGTATAATCTAGTAACTCATAAATTTGTCATAGGTACCTTCGACTTGTTCTTCTAGCATCTTCCTAATGTATGGAGGAGGGTGTTACCTCCCTGTGTTACATTAACACAATAGCAAGAGTTAACACTGTAGCAAGAATCATGGTTGATATAATAGATAAGAATGCAGATCTACTGACCAAATTTGCTTTTATTTCTGTCATATCAGAGAACCTGAGAATTGGGTTACTAAGAAACACTTATAGCCAAGCAGCTACATAGATTGTGCAAGTTTTGCACTGTGCAACTCTGCTGAGTGTGGCTTTGCACATTTCTTATAGTGAAGTGCTGCCCTGTTTCTAGTGCACACAGGTGAGCTGACCTCAGGCAGCTTTGCTGGGGACGTCCCTACCCTGTCTCTTTCTTCTGTGTTAGTTTACTGTTCACTGGGAGCTTCTCTTTGTGGGGCCACATTCTACCCTGTGTGAAATGTATATGTCAATTTTGTTGTTAACCTAAAACTTATCTAAAAAATAAAATCAATTTTTAAAAGTTTGGACAAAATAAATAAATACATAAAGATAAATAAGAAGGGCTGAGGGTGTAGCTCAGTGAGAGAATTCCCCAGATAACATTCTTGTACCTTTAAAAAAAAAAAAACAAGAATAAATAGAATTTAAAGCATGGTAGCTGCTCAGTAAATATTCATAATAATCACCCCAAAGAAGTGTGGACAAAATGAAGTCCTATGAATAGCAGGTGCTGTACAAGTAGAGAGATGAGAGATGTTAAGTGTGGTTAGAGGCCCTGGGGGCCGAGAAAGCTTTGTGGAGGAGTTGCAATTGCAGAATCCTTGTAGTGGCTGCAGTAGAAATACAGGTAGATGTAGAATTTGTGTCAACACATGTAAATCTGGATATCTAGAGCCCTTTAGAATGGCATTTTGCCATCATTATTGTGTACATATAGAACATTTTCTCCTAAGGAATCTTTGAGTCATTTGGGAGAGTCAGCCTGTCCCAGTTTGCCTTGTGAGAGAGGGTGGAGCATTTTCAAAGCCTCCTGTTGGTATATAATTTCTAATATTCCTGAGGATTTCAGGCTGAAGGACTAGAGCAGGCATAAAGAAAGTGTAAATGAAAAGATGTACTTCCATGAACAGCTCTAGGTCTGTTCCTTTTCACAGCCAGCAGGTGTCATGAGGGAGCCACATGCTACAGCTGCATACTGAAGAACACTGGGCTGCACACTTCCCTTTGCTTTTTCTATTGCCTGTTGGCTATTTGCTCAACGTTCCACTTAAGGTGATAGAAAGCCCCTAGAGGACTTATGGTGTCTGCTCATGGTGTTAGCAGTCACTAGAGTGCCTTTATCCAAGATTTGCCCCCCACTTAAGTTATGTGTCCTCTACTTCCTTGATTATATTTTAAATCATCACATGAATCATTATGCTTACCTTATAATTTTTAAATTGTTATTTAATATTTAAATACTGTTGTATAAAAACACAATTATTCCTAATTATTAATATAGCTATTAGAAGTGTATACTAACACAACCTTTCTATAGTGGTTGTTTTCTAAAAAGTTCTTAGAATCTTATTTTTATCTACCACATATTTAATTTAAAAAGTCAAATAATGCCCGGCATGGTGGCACAGGCCTGTAATCCTAGTGGCTTGGAAGGCTGAGACAGGAGGATCAGGAGTCTAAAGCCAGTCTCAGCAAAAGCAAGGCACTAAGCAACTCAGTGAGACCTTGTCTCTAAATAAAATACAAAATAGGGCTGGGGATGTGGCTCAGTGGTTGAGTGCCCCAGAGTTCAGTCCTCAGTACCAAAAAAAAAAAGGTCAAATAGTAATAGATTGTTAGTGTAATGATAAAAATATCAGCTTCTATTCCTTTATTTGTATTACATGTTTCATTTTCTTTTTATAGTCATGTTCTCTTTGCTTATCTGTATTTTTATGCATTGCAGAAAAAAATGAACTAAAATAATAAATATTTATTGTTGCTTCTAATTAAACAAACAGAAAAAAGCAAAACATCAGCTCCCTGCCCTGTACGTCCAAAAGCCATGTTCCAAACTCTACCCAAAACAAATACTTTTAACTCTTTCACCTTTTTCCATGGTATTTTATTTCCACCATGTGACTTTTAATTTCTTTTTATACTTCTGATGTTTTATTACTGATTTTTCTATATTTATATGATTGAGTTATTGTTTTCTTAAATAATTAAAATACAATCAGTTCTTTGAAGTTTTAGCGAAGCTGTATTTTTATAGTGAATCAGTTTTCCAGAGTGCCATCTAAATTCTCAGCTGCTCTGATTTACCAGTGTTACTTCTATCTTCTAATAGAAATATCTTTGGGTATCAGATTAAAAGTATTAAAATTAGCTGGGCACAATGGCACACGGTTGTAATCCCAGGAGCTTGGGAGACTGAGGCAGGAGGATCGCAAGTTCAAAGTCAGTTTTAGCAATGACAAGGCGCCAAGCAACTGAGTGAGACCCTGTCTTTAAATAAAATACAAAACATGGTTGGGGATGTGGCCCAGTGGTCAAGTGCCCATGAGTTTAATACCTAATACCGAAAAGAAGTATTAAAAATTATGCAGTTTATATTGTCCAATTGTAAAAACTTTCTATTTTAACTTTTCTGTGTTCTCTTTTATCTTACTATAGATGAAGATCTGATAAAGTATGGCTGGCCTGAAGATATTTGGTAAGTAACAGTTTTGATTCTGCTTTATGGATTGTTTATTTTCTTAGGTGTGGCCTGCCACCCTGCTTTTGTCACTAGAATTTGTGCTTTGTATTTTTGTTTATGTGTGTTCCGTGACAAGACTGGTTCCCTTCGTTTATAATGACCATGTGAACTGGCTATAATGCCTTGGGGTTTGATCTCAGGCCTGAGAGCAAAGGCCTTCAGGACATAGGCTTCCTTTTACTGCCTGTTGGTCACCTTGTGGCAAGTTACTAAGACACCACACTTGTTCAGACCCATTGAGTAAAGATAAGACTTTCCCAAGACGCAGTGAAAGAAACAGAGGCATCTATGTCAGTAGACTGCAAGCTGCATCTGACCTGGTCCAGCATTAAAGGAAACAGATGGGCTCCTTTTGTCCTCCCTGATGATCTTAGCCCTGTTTTGATCTACCCCTGTCCCTTCTTTCCAATATTATTTGTGGAAACTGTTTAAATAATATATACTTTCTTAGCTTCTCTCCAAGATCATTCATTTTGCTGCTCATTAAACCCAGTCCTAAAAAAAAACAATGACCAAAAAAATGAACAAAAGGACTCCTTCATTTTAGCTGAATTTTCTCTTTCTCTGTCAGAATCCTATGAGTACTTTTCTTCCACACAGACCTAGTCCTTTTGAAAAGTACACAGGCTTTCTGTGCGCACGCGTGCTCTGTCTGTCTCTCTGTCTCTCTGTCTTCTACCGTTCTCTCACTCAGTTGCTTTCCTTTTCCATCTCCAGCTTCCACCACTCACTTTGACCCTCATAATCTCTCTCTCTCAGAGCCTACTCATGCCTGTTTAGTGGGGTATCCCCAGCTTGTAGCATCTGGTACCAAATGTTGGTCCTAAAGATCTGTTTCTCGTATCCTGTTTACTTTGATATGATAGTAATAATAGATATTTTTCAAGCACTTATCTATACGCTAAATACTGTGATGTGTTTACTTCTGTTAATACTTTATTTCTCAGTGATACTGTGAGATAAGTATTGCTATTATACTCATTTTTCAGATGAGGAAATCAAAGTTAAGATGAACTGAACAGGTCTTTTTTCCCTCACGGTGCCACTCTTTTGGCTTCTGGTTATTTTTTCTTCCCCCAGGCCATTCCTACAGCTCTTTCTAGACCTCTTTTTTTATAAATGTAAGCTTAGACTCTTCATTTAATTCCTTAGAGTGATAGCATTTAAGCTCCAGTGTTGTAGAAGAGTTTATTTATTTATTTATTTGGTACCTGGAGTTAAATTTAGGGACATTTAACTACTGAGCCACATTCCTAGCCCTTTTTATGTTTTATTTTGAGATGGTCTTGCTAAGTTACTTAGGCCCTTGCTAAATTGCTGAGGCTATAATCCTCCTGTTTCAGCCTCCCAAGCCTCTGGGATTGTAGCACCACCATGCCTGGCTGAATTTTTAATAAGGTATATAGCATTGAGTATTTAACAACAGAAATATTGCATAGAGTCTAAAAACTAAAGCCGCCCCCAGATGTGGCTATGCTCACATCCCTGCCTGTGTGTAGGGACTCCCTGGAGGGTTTTCTCTCTGGCTTCATGAAGAGGCCAGTTCATATCCCCAGGGGACATGTCCTTCTATCTACTTTCTATAAAATCCATACCAAGGATCCAAGAAGTCCAAGGACCATGAGAAATTTTAAAGACTTAAAAGGAAAATCTATCCCAGCACAATGTCCTGTTATCTGAACTCAGATGTGTCATCAGGTTAGACTCTGCTTAGTGCCCCCTTACCTCAGGTGGGTGGTTTACTCTGCTGAGAACTTTTAGGTTGAGTATTGCCTACCTTCCAAGGACCCTAGACTGAGCTCCATGAAGACAGCAATCTACCTGCTTTGTTAACTGCTGTGTCCCCAATACAGAGCATAGGTTCTAACATTTAGTAGATATTTGTTGACTTCCTAATTGACTAGGTCTCTGCCCTTCTAGAAGTGATTCCCCCCAGATGTTTCTGCCCAATAACCAGTTTCTTCTTATCTCTTCTCTGAGCACCTCTGCCCTGTCCCCCCCAGCTGGAATAGTTTCTGTTGTCCTTAAAGCTCCAAGATCTCCAGATTCTCTCAAGAAAATTAGAATGACTATCCTGTTAGATAGCTTACCTGCTATACATTTTTAGCATATCAACTTTGAGACATAAATATCAGCATAAAAATGTTATAGGTTCAGTTGCAGCATAAAAGTCATTTCAAGTGGAAGAGGAATTTACAGCTGACACTCAATAAATTATGACTTGAATTTTTAATTTCATCAAGGTTTGTGTGTGTCAAATTGGTGTCTATAGATTCCTAGAGTCCTGTTTTGACCCTCTTTAATAGTCTAGAGGTTAGTGACTATGGTTAGACATGACTGACTTTTATTTTCGTAAGTTCTTTGAGAACTGATGTGAGTTGAAATAGGCCCCAAACTCAAGACCCATTCCAATTCATGTCAGCCTGGCAGTCTTCTACGGAGTGCCAAGAGTGATTCTGTGTTGCTCTACCTTGCTGGGTAGATTTTAACACTGGTTCACTTTGATGAAATATTTGCAACTTTACCTCTGTGGCTGTCGATATCTGAATCTATTCCAGAAAACCTCCTGAATTCCTTTAAGCAAAGAATTTTCCTAGGATTAAGTGAGAATGGAACTAGATTATATTTTAAATGAGAAAAATAGAAACAGTGTGCATTTACTGCCTCCAGAATGCCTAATGAGCAGGGTTTTCACAGACCTCACTAAGGAATTTAGTGTCCTCACTTGTGGGGCTTTGCATCTATGTTCCCTTGAGTTATTGATACTCTCTTAGTGAAATTTCTAGTCTGTATTTGGTAAAGGGCAGCAGGAATTAATCAGGAACAGGAAGATATGAAGAGGAACTAGTGGGCATAATTTAAACTTTAAGTGAGCATTTGGGAAGGAATTTTAAAGAAAACTTGCTTAAAATAATCCCCCCCTCCAACATTTCATCAAAGCCCCAAAGTTCTGACTACTCCCCCACCCTTTGTAGCAGTACACTTGCTATGTACAAATCTGAAACTGGTATATATTGGCTGTGATACTCCTCTGTGTTTTTTGGTACTTTGACTATTATGTGTGAACTTAATAACTATATATTGAATTGTTCGGGTATTTCTTTTGGCAAAATTTCACATCAGAGACTTTAAAGAAAAATCAGAAAACAAGGGCTGGGGATATAGCTCAGTTGGTATAGTGCTTCCCTTGAATGCACAAGGCCTGGGTTCAATCCCCAGCACCACCAAAAAAAAAAAAAAAAGAAGAAGAAGAAGAAGAAAAATCAGAAAACAACCTAGCTATTTTGAGTATATAGGAAGGAATTGTAAATAGAGAACTGGCTTAAAAGCTGTTGACTGTTAGAATGGGAGAAGGTGATTCTCAGTTGGACTTGGTTAGTAGTGCAGATTTTTCTAGGATTCTGAAAGAAGATGAGGAGGTAACCAGGTGCGGTGGCCCGCGCCTGTAATCCCAGTAGCTCAGGAGGTTGAGGCAGGAGGATCGCGAGTTCAAAGCCAGCCTCAGCAATGACGAAGCGCTAAGCAACTCATTGAGACCCTGTCCCTAGATAATATACAAAATAGGGCTGGAGATGTGGCTTAATTGGTTGAATGTCCCTGAGTTCAATCCCTGGTACCTTTCTTCCCCCCCCCCAAAAAAAATTGATGCTAAGAAAATGTCTAGCAAAATATAAAATGGGATTTAATGATAGGTTTTATTGAACAATAACTGTGGAAAAGTAAGGACAAAAGTTAACAGAATCACAAAATATAATCATGCATTATCTTGTTTATTGTTTGACATTAGGACTTTGGAGGCTTCTCTGGGTGTTGTAAAGAGAGAGTTGACATTGTTGACTTATAAACTTGAAAAATACAATATCCTGAAATGTCACATCAGTTTTAAAGAATTTAATTAAATTGATGGATTTTAGAGCCTTAATGAAAGATTGATTTATGACACTGGGATTAGAGATATCCTGAATGTTTTTTAGACAATGCCATAAAGACAGTGTTCATCCTGAGGACACATGTTAGTGTCATTGTCGGAGTATAGGGCTGGATGAATTTGTTAATCTGAGCTTACCGACTTTACCTAATTTTCCCAAATCTGTACTTGACATTCACTTGTGGCTGTTTTGTCATTGTTTGAAACTCAGAATGCTCCAGGCTAATCCAGTGTGTGGTCCTGCAGATCTCCCAGGCTGGCAACATTGGAGTCTCAGCAACTTCTGTCATTCCCTTCTCTTCTCATCTGCAATTTCTTTTTCTGTTTTTCCTTTTAGTCCTGTGTGTGCTTCAGTCAGGGGCCAGCCAAATCTTATTTCTTCCATGAACACTTTGATCACAGAAAGCTCTTTTTATCACTTGAAGAATCACTTTTCTCAGGGCATTTAATATTTATTATCTTACTCGTCTTGGCACTTAACCACACACGGTGGCATAACTCCCATGGTCTGTGGTAGGCCCTGAGTGAATACAGTTTGGGAATGGAATGCTTTAAATGCAAGTGACCAAGGAGATGGTTATCTCATATCTCTTGCTAAAAGTGATTTTCATTCTTTGTAGGTTTCATGTGGACAAACTCTCTTCAGCTCACGTATACCTTCGATTACATAAGGTAACTGAATTTAAACATGGATTCATTACTTTTTCTTCAGTGTTAAGCATCATATCTTATTCTTTATTCTTTTTCTGCTGTTAAGTTAGTTGAAATAATAAATGTTTCACAATCTAGGCCTTCCCTATGACTCAGAAAATTACTGGAAAATTCTAGGTGATTTCTGAGACTGTGAAGGGGCCATACTACATATTTCCCATGTAGAAGCATTGCCTTGTCCTGATGGTTCAGGTGTGTTGAGTGTCCACTTTGCAAGCTCTTTCTGTTAGTTGGATACCACCAGACTTTCTGTCTGCTCCAGTGGTTTCTTTTTCTCAGGCTCATGTGATTCTTTTGCCTTATAATATAAAAGAAAAGAGATTTAATGTTCCCTAGTAATATAGTACACTATTTTTCCACTCATTCATGGAAATGGATATATGAATATTCCAAATATTCACATATTTCGAATAGTTGAATCACAGGGTATATACATCCACATATGTATACATGTATATTTCCCAACTTTTCACTTTGGAGTAATTTTAGGTTTATAGGACAGTTGTGAACATAGTATAGCGAGTTCCCATATAGTTTTCCTTATCATTTCCATCTTGTATTACCAAGGTATATTTGTCAAAATTAAGAAGCCAACCTTGATATATTACTATTAGCTCAACTCTGGACTCTATTTGAACTTCATCAATTTTTCTGTTAATGTTGTTTTCATGTTCCAGGATCCAGTCTAGGGTACTACATTGCATTTAGTAGTCACATCTGCTCTGTCTCCTGGTTTGTGATATTTTCTCACTCTTTACCTATTTTTCATGACCTTGACAGTTTGATCAGGGATTCTGTAGAATCTCACTTGATCTGAGTTTTCTGATGTTTTTCTCATGACTAGACTGAGGTAATGGGTTTGGGGTAAGAGAACCACAGAAGGAGTTGCTCTGCTCATTAATTACATCAGGGGGTGTACTCACTGACATGATTCATCACTGATCCTGTGAGTCTCAGTTACCTGCCAGGGTAGTGTATGCCAGATTGCTCCACTGTGAAGCTGCTTTTCTCCCCATTTCTAGCAATGCACTAAACCCAACTCCTACTCAATGGGGCAAGGGAAAGAATTAAGTTTCACTTTCTAGAATACAGAGCATCTACATATTTTATTTGGAGTTCTGGAAGGAAGATTTGTCTTTTCCCCCATTTATTTGCATCAGTGTGGACTCTTGTTTCTTTTATACATTGGGTTATGTTTTGGTGCTGTGTTACTGTTGCCCATGATGTGCCTGCTTAGCTCCCCATTTTGAGCACTTCCTTACCTTTTGTCCCTATGAGATGCTGCAGGCACATCTTGTATTATTCCTGCCCCGGATGTACAATCAGCTATTTCTACAAGGAACCTTGGTTCCTTTTCTTGGTGAATGATATTTCAAAATGAAGATCTGGGCTCCGGGTGTGCCTGTTGCTTCTAGAGTGTTGTTGCTGTAGCTCCTCCCAACTGACAGAACTAGGAAATGTCTGTCCGTGAATCCATGTATGTACTCGTATCTGCTATCATCGTTTTTCTATCTCTTCATCATGTCCATGTTAAGGTAAACCTGAACACATATTGCTTCCTGTGACTAATCTGGGCTCATTCTAGCCTTCCCCACACGCTTATCTGCAGCAGTGAGAAGCCTCCTTTCCACTTATTCATTTGACTCCAGTATATGCATAGCTGGTTTCAGAATTGCTAACCTATATCCATCCACTTGAGAAACAACACTATCTGCTAGAGTATTCGGTGTGCAGATAGTTTTGTCTTTTTGTCCAGTGGTTTTCATCAGAACATTGCTTTCCTAAGTTACATATAAATTGCTTTTTTTTCTGCCACCCTTCCAGTAATGTGATGTCCTTCTCTTTTTTTCCTCAATCTGAATCTATCCTGGCTTTTCCTGGCTGATTGTATTACTTTTTAAGTGATAGCTTATGGACCTTTTCATGTTTCTGTATTATTTTTCATGTTTATTATTCTGACTGGCTACATGGCATTGATCATATGCCACAATTAATAAGAAATCTTTATCAGAACATAGTTATTTTCAATTTGTCAGCATTATGAATTCCTAATAAGAACTACCTTTATATGAGTTACTTTCTGTTCTTCTTCTGAATTAGTTTCTTAGATTAATTTTTAGAAATGGAAATATTGGGTCAAAAGATATATATATTTCAGTAAACTCCTTTTTGCTAAATGGCCTTCAGAGTATTGTGCTAGTTTAAAATGCTGTTTGCTATCCATAGTTTTTTTCCAAAAACTTTTTAGGTTTTATAACAACAACAACAAAATATGTATATGTAAACCCTATTTTAATAAGTACACGATGGCTAAAATACTAACTTCTGAATTTATAGCAGGGTTAAACTTGTGCCCAATTTTTACTTGTACTGTTGATTTTTTTGTTTGTTTGTTTTATTGGTACCAGAGATTGAATCCAGGGGTGCTTAACGTGAGCCACGTTCCAGCCTCTATTATTTCAAGGCAGGTTTTCTCTAAGTTGCTTAGGGTCTCACTGAATTGCTGAGGCTGGCCTCGATCCTCTATCTCAGCCTCCTGAATCACTGGGATTATGGGTATGCACCACTGTGCCTAGCATTATTGATTTTTTGAGGACTGATTAGTTCCTGGTACTTGGTAGATACCAAATATGTATTGGAGATGTACAAGGCTAAGTGGTTGCAACCCAGCCAGAGTCGAAGTGCTGGATTTGAATACTGGCTCTACAGCTTACTAACCTTGTGACTTTGAGCACATTACTTGACTGCCTATTTCCTCCATTGTGAGAGGGGCCAACTTGTTGAATCATTATGGGGACTAAATGGCCCAGTCTGTCTTAAAGTACTTAGAATGTCTCATGTCATATGCGAAACACTATATGCATTCATTGTTGTTGTTGTTGTTGTTTTTTTGGTTAGATTTAATTGAATTCAACCCATACCTTGAATCATGGATATTCAGCAATGCTCTTTTATAGTCTCACACAGAAAAAGCTCACCTACCTAGAGGTTTCTCCATTAACTGATGGCACAAAACCTACCATCAAAATTCTGGCCTTCACATATTGAAAGTACTTGGACCTTTGAGCTCACTTCCTGTGACTTTACCTTTGAGCTCACTTCACCTTTGAGCTCACTTCCTCTGACTTTATGCAGAGTGCTAAATTGGATGATTTTTTTCTTTTTGTTCATATTATTATTTAATATTTATTTTTTAGTTGTAGTTAGTACCTTTATTTTACTTATTTATTTTTTATGAGGTGCTAAGGATCGAACCCAGGGCCTTGCACATGCTAGGCGAACGCTGTACCACTACCTCAGCCCTTTTTTGTTCATATAATATTGGAAGTAGCAAAATAAAGATAGGAGATGACTTTTTAGGAATAGCGACAGCCACAGATAGTAAGGAAACATATTGGGTCATAGCTTGACATCAAGGACCAAGGAACTGTATGGTGCTGCTAGAACTCTATAAGCAACCCAAGCCTGGGGTTTGGTTTTAGAGTGTAGCTTTAAACAGTATCGTCTCTCAGCTCCATCACCTACCAGACATAATGGGCCTTGGCCTTGCTACTTAACTTCACTAAGATTCATTCTCTTCATTGGCAGGGTGAGGATATTTCACAGGACTATTTACTGTACCTGGAACATAGTGGGCACTCTAAATGGCAGCTTTTTTAAAAAAAATCATGGAGTAAATGTCTGTGTATTTAATTAATGTTATTATAACCCAGTATAATGGTCAGTATTAATGATGAAGATACTGAGTTACTAAGATATTATTGCAAAATCCTGTATTTAAATGGTCTTGTAATGGAATGAGATGTGCTTGAAAGTAGTGACAAAATTAGATTACTTACTCTGGGCCAAAATTTATATGTTTAAGAAGTTCCCATTTAAAACAATTAAAATGAAAAAAATTTGCCAAGTTTGATGGCTCACACGTGTAATCCTAGCAACTCAGGAAGATTGCAAGTTCTAGGCCAGCCTGGATAACTTAGTGAGACCCTATCTTAAAAAGTAAAAAGGACTGGGGGTGTAACTTCATGGTAAAGCACCCCTGGTTCTATCCCTAGGGCCAAAAATAAAAAATAAAATAAAATGAAATGAAAGTTTGAGTAACATAATGGAAGGAGTTTAATTTATCTCTATATTTAGTTAGGTGAAACATTCATTCTCAAACAGGTGTTTCTGTAATCTCATACCAAATAGGAGCCAGTACTGAACTGATATCCATTTACTCTTACCTTGGACATATTTTTGCTATCTTGAATTGCTCTTTAATTTAATATAGGTTTTGTAGAGAAAAAGGATTGATCTTATCTGTGTTACTTCTCTTTCACAGTGAGTGGCTAAGTTCTAGCACAGACGTTTTGTTCCTAATTATGTTTGGGGTTAGAAAACCCACAAGAACTCTTCAGTTATCTTTTTCAGAGGAATTATAGGGACTTCATTCAACCAGCAAGAGTTTGGGTAGTCAAAAATAGGCACCATCGCCAGAGCAATCAGACAACAGAAATTAAAGGGATACGTATAAAAAAAGAAAAACTGAAACTATCACTATTTGCCGATGACATGATTCTGTATTTAGAATATCCAAGAAATTTCACCAGTAAACTTCTAGAACTAATAAATGAATTCAGCAAAGTAGCAGGATATGAAATCAATACCATAAATCAAATGTATTTCTATACATAAATGAAGAATCTACTGAAAGAGAAATTAGGAAAACTACCTCATTGAAAATAGCCTCAAAAAATATAAAATGCTTGGGAATCAATCTAACAAAAGAGGTGGAAGACCTCTACAATTAAAACTACAGAACACTAAAGAAGGAAATTGAGGAAGACCTTAGAAGATGGAAAGATCTCCCATGCTTTTGGATAGGCAGAATTTATATTGTCAAAATGGTCACACTACTAAAACTGTTATACAGATTTACTGCAATTCCTATTAAAATCCCAATGACGGGGCTGGGGTTATGGCTCAGAGGAAAAGCACTCTCCTGGCATGCATGAGGCACCAGGTAATTAAATAAAGGTATTGTGTGCACCTACAACTAAAGAATAAATGTTTTAAAAAAAAATCCAATGACATTCTTCATAGAACTAGAAAAAAAATCATGAAATTTATTTGGAAAAATAAGAGACCCAGAATAGCCAAAGCAATCCTTAGCCCAAAAAAAAAGTGAAGCAGAAGGCATCACAATACCAGACCTTAAACTGTACTACAGAGCAGTAGTAACAAAAACAACAAGGTATTGGTACCAAAATAGACATGTAGACCAATGATACAGAATAGAATGGTACAGAATTCCTTTGGAGTGTCTTCTATTTTCTCTCCCTGAAACACAAAAGTGATCAAATGGTCAATTCCTTGTTGCTGACAGATACTACAGCCCTTAAATGGTACAAACATCCTTTAGAATGTTTTCTCTGTGTACAGAATGGTACACAGAGACAAACCCATATAAATACAGTTATCTCATACTAGACAAAGATGCTAAAAACATACATTGGAGAAAGGATAGCCCCTTCAACAAATGGTGCTAGGAAAACTGGAAATCCGTATGTAGCAAAATGAAATTAAACCTCTATTTTTCACCGTGCACAAAACTCAAAGTGGATTAAGGACATAGGAATTAGCCAGAGACCCTGCGCCTTGTAGAAGAAAAAGTAGGCCCAAATCTCCATCATGTCAGATTAGGTCCTAACTTCCTTAAAAAGACTCCAAAAGTACAAAAAATAAAATCAAGAATCAATAAATGGGATGGATTCAAACTAAAAAAAACCTCTCCTCAGCAAAGGAAACAATCATTGAGGCGAAGAGAGAGCCTGCATTTTGGGAGGCTTTTACCACATGCATTTCAGATAGAGCACTAAATCTCCAGGATATATAAAGAACTCAAAAAACTTAACACAAAAAAAAAAGACAATCCAATCAATAAATAGGCTAAGGAACTGAACAGACACTTCTCTGAAGAATATATACAAGTGATCAACAAATATATTAAAAAGTATTCAACATCATTAGTAATTAGAGAAATGCAAATGAAATTAGGTCCTAACTTCCTTAAAAAGACTCCAAAAGTGCAAGAGATAAAATTAAGAATCAATAAATGGGATGGATTCAAACTAAAAAGCCTCTCCTCAGCAAAGGAAACAATCATTGAGGTGGAGAGATCTCATCTCACCCCAGTCAGAATGGCAAGCAATAATAAGTGTTGGAGAGGATTTGGGGGAAAAGGTACACTCATACATTGCTGGTGGGACTGCACATTGGTGCAACCCTTTTGGAAAGCAGTGTGGAGATTCCTCAGAAAACTTGGAATGGAACCAACATTTAACCCAGCTATCCCTCTCCTTGGTCTATACCTAAGGGCTTAAAATCAGTATGCGACATAGCCACACCAATGTTTATAGCAAACTGTAGTATATATATATATACAGTGGATTATTACTCAGCATTAAAGGAGAGTAAAATTATGGCATTTGCAGGTAAATGGATGGAGTTGGAGAATATTATTCTAAGTGAAGAAGCCAATCCCAAAAAACTAAAGGCCAAATATTTTCTCTGGTTAGTAGATGCTGATTTGTGATGGGGGTGGGGCATGGGAAGAACGGAGGAACTTTGGATTGGGCAAAGGCGAGGGTGGGGAGGAATTATGGGGATGAGAAAGATGGTGGAATGAGGTGGACATCATTACCCCTAGGTACTTGTATGATTGCACGAATGGTGCACCTCTATACCATGTACAAAAAGAGAATTGAAATGTTGTGCTCCATTTGTGTACAATGCATTGAAATGCATTCAGCTGTCATGTACAACTAAGTAGAACCAATAAAAATAATAATAATAATTTAAAAAAATAGGCATCTTTTTCCACACGGTTTCCAGAAGAATAAGAAGAGAGCAGATATTACTCAGATATAATTACAGTTAATGTTTTGATATAACTATGATTTATTTTTTCCATATTACTATCTTCTCTTAATTTAAATAAATATTCCCATGATGGACATAGAAAATTTACTTTGCTTTTCAGTGTTCTGTAATGTAATTGAAGAGCCCCTACTTGTAATTAACTCAAGCCTAGCAAGCAAGGCAGAAATACTGTTTAAGTGCTGTAGTATCTGTCAAAAGCAAGGGAATGGACCATTTGATTACTTTTGTGTTTCAGGGAGAGAAAATAGAAGACATTCCAAAGGAAGTGCTGATGGACTGTGCCCACCTTGTGAAGGCCAATAGCATTCAAGGTCAGTTTTCCTAAGGTATTTTTTGAATTGGCATTGACATTCTGTGTCTGAAATAGATTTCATCTTAGAGAACATGCAGTTGACTTTGGTTTGCATCAAAGGACTAGCAGATTATATCTTTATAGTGGGTGGCAGTTTTGCTCTCTGTCAAAGAACTAAAAGTTTATCTCCCTGCCCTTCAAATTTTCACTGTTTCAAGTCAGCTCTTTTCCTTACCTTAAATAGAAAGTAGGACATCTGGATCTGCCTACCCCTAAGATTATTTGTAAAAAGACTTGGAAATTTGGTAATGTTGATAGCTAAGCAAGAGAGATGTGTCTTTTGGCTTTATTTTTAAAGTGGATATTTGTTTTAATCATTTGTCATTAGATTATGAAATAGAATCTCTAAATGATATTTTCCTACTTTTTCTTTTTTTCCTCCTCCTCTTACATATTTTTTTCCTTTCTCCAAGTCAGTTGATCTTATTATCTCTTCTCTCCAGAGAATCTTAGTTATTCTGGAATGATCCCTGAATATCACTATTTTTACAAAGCTTTTTGTAGCATCTGTTGGGGACAGTTATCCTAAATGTTTTAGGAATGGCCTGGAGTACTGTGCTTGGTACTTGTTTTATTTCTACTATATAAAATTTAATGTAATAGTAAAGACCTCTCGCCGCCCGCCCCCCCCAAAAAAGATTATTGGGGTAAGGGTTGCAGTTAAGAGGGGGAGCTGGGAGAGGGTGGTTTACTGAGAATGTTTAAGCTAGTTAATAAGATTTTAGGTGTGGGACATATACCTAGATAGGGAATAGGGTAGAGGTAACTTTGGTTTGATATGAAATTGAGCGATGTGGACAGGAATACAGTTCGGGTAAAAGATAAACATGGGGCAGTTGTAGAGCTTGTAAAGGGACCAGGGAATGGCGATTATAGGACAAGAGCTGTGCAACCATCTCCCTTCCCCATCACTGAGTCTATGTTTCTTGAATCTTAACTTGGACAGCCTTAATAACAAATTAGCTTCTTGGCCAAAGAGGGTAGAATTTCTTCCTTGTGGAGCCACTGATTTCAACTCCATAAATCAACAAATTATAATGAGTTTGAGGACATTCTATTTTTTATGAGAATGGAATTTTCTTGGATTTTCATTGACTGAAATAAAAATTGAAACAGTCATTACCTTTTTCCCTCTATTCCAACCTTCTTCACAAATTCTTGTCCCTTCCCATGCCCCTGGCTAGCAGATGCCCCTTTGTTCAAAAACTTTCTGTGGACTCCGTATTCTTGGTTCATCCTCTTTTTTCTTAGAATCTTTATAGTTTAGTAGTTGTAGAGAAAACAAAGGAAGGTAGGGTCATGACACTGAATTACTCTTCTGTCTCCTCCTCAGTCTTCCATGGTGATAGTTCACCTAGCAGAGAAAGAACCTAAGCCCCAGGACCTCACTTTCATAATTCATTTCTGCTAGGGAATGAAGAAATGGTCTTTGCTATAAGATCTGCTGAGGACATTCCACTTGTGATACTGTGTAGTTACAATATTTCCTCCCTGGATAATTGCCACGGGAGTGGGGATTAAACTTGTTTGTTACTATAGAATTAATCTGTTCTGAGTTCTAGGTCTAGAACCATAGGTCAGCTCATTCTGTATCACCTGGCAAATCTTTTTTTTTTTTTTTTTTTTTTAAAGAGAGAGAGAGGAGAGAGAGATAGAGAATTTTTAATATTTATTTTTTAGTTCTCGGCAGACACAACATCTTTGTTGGTATGTGGTGCTGAGGATCGAACCTGGGCCGCACGCATGCGAGGCGAGCGCGCTACCGCTTGAGCCAAATCCCCAGCCCCTCACCTGGCAAATCTTACCAGATAAAACTTCCCAAAAGTTAGAAAGTTTTTGTGACTCCCCTTGCCTATACAATTCAGTCCAGGCTCAAGATGGCATCCAGCCTAGTTGCTGTTTTCTACCCTCCTGCCTTTGCTTTTGTTGTTTCCTCTGCACTCCGTAGACATCTGTCTTCCTCAGTGTCACACCAGCAGATCCCAGCTAAGGTTTAAGACCCCCACTGCAGGTGTAGTAAATAATATAATCATTGATGGAGTATTAGTTACAGGACTGACCCTGTGCTGAAACTTGACAAATTATTTATCAACCTTATTGAGCTTGATGATGTCATTTTTATGTTGCAGGTGAGAGAACTGACCTTACAGAGTAATAAGAAATTTGTCAAAGATCTCAGAGCTCTGCACATTAAGGCTGACCAACTTGAGTCTTTTGTCAGCCTGGAGCTCTGGGTACCTTTGTGGTGATGCTTATCCCCTCTTCAGCTCTGGGTAGCCTTGGAGTTATTTATGTACTTATCTCCCCCTTTTTAGGGTCTCAGAAGGCAGGTCCATTGTCTGACCCATGTTTGTATCACGTGCCTTGCACGTGGAGATTCTTTTTTTTTAACTTTTTATTTTGAAAGAAATCTTCAAAACTACAGAAAAGTTGCAAGAAAAATACAACCAGAAAACATATCTAGCCCATATGCTCTTCACCTAGATTCACCAGGTTTTAAATTTTGCATATTTATTTGATTTTTATGTATATTACTCTTGTCATCAACTATTTTTTTTTTTTTTTAATTTTGGTGGTACTGTTGGTTGAAGCCAGGGGCATGCTATTACTGACCTATATTCCCAACTCTTTTAATTTTATTTTAAGATGAAGTCTTGCTAAGTTGCTGAGGCTGGCCTCAAACTTGTGATTCTTTTGCCTCAGCCTCTCAAGTTGCTGGGATTACATGTGTGTGCAACTGTACTCAGCTCATCAACTTTATAGCTGGGCCATCTGAAGGAAATTTACAGACATTATGACCCTTCAACATGTAACTCTTAAGACCAAGGACATTACCACCTGTGGTGGCACACTCCTATAATCCCAACGACTCAGGAGGCTGAGGCTGTAGGGTCATGGATTCAAAAGCCAGCCTCAGCAAATACCAAGGCCCTAAGCAACTCAATGAGACCCTGTCTCTAATAAAATATTTAAAAGGGCTAGAGATGTGGCTCAGTGGTTAAACACCCAGGTTCGATCCTGGTACCAAAAAGAAAGAGGGAGAGAGAGAGAGGGAAAGAGAGAAAGCCAGGCCAAGGACATCATCTTAAGTAACTTCATTACAGTGATCAAATTCAGGGAATTTAACATGGATAGCATACTATTATCTGGCAGGGTGTGGTGTGTTGCACGCCTGTAATCCCAGTTACTCAGAAGGCTGAGGCAGGAGGGTTGGAAGTTCAAGGCTGATTGGGCAACTTAATGAGACCCTTCAAAATAAAAAAGGGCTGGGGGTATAGCTAAGTGGTAGGACAGTTGCCTAGCATGTGCAAGGCCCTGAATTCATTCCCAGTACTGAAAACAAACAACTGTTTTCTGATATATAGTTCATATATAAGTTTTGTCAGTGGTTCTACTACTGTTCTTTTATCTAGCTTCTTTTAAAAATTTCTGAATCTGGAGGTACCTCTTTTTCTATCAATACTTTGATTTTTAATGAGTAGAAATATTCTATAGTTTCCCAGAGTTTGGGTTTGTCTGATGTACCCTCTTGAGTAAAATTATAGTATGCATTTTTGAACAATTAGAGTTTTGCACATTTCAGTGAAGCAGAACATGATTTTATTTTGCCCCATTTTCAGTGATGTTAACTTTGACCACTTGGTAAGGTGCTGTTCATTAGCTTTCTCCAATGAATACAGGGATTTAAACAGTAAAGTCAAGTCCACAGCTATCTGATGTGGAAGGATGGTGGAAAGTAGCAGACCAGCGAATCCCCTGTGATTCTCAGAGCTGCTGGGGTAGAGGGCACCCTGTGGTGGAGGTGGTGGTGTTATTTTCAGATGAGATTCAGAAAGCTATGGGGACTTTCTCAAAGTGGCACAACTAGTTGTGGTACTGTCAGGATAGAGTCCAGGTCTCTGGAATCCCAGGCCATGTCTTTGTATTGCTTCCTAACCTTTACTGACTCAAGGACTCCTTTGAGAATCTGAGGAAACTTACTTGGGTCTTTTTCTCTCAAAAAAAAAAAAAAAAAAAAACACATGATAAATTTTACTGTCTATTTTAGGAAGTTTTCCAAAGTCCTTGAATCTAATCCATGGACCCTTGTGTAGTAAAAGGAATCTCTTTCCTTTTCTATCTTCTAGAGGCTGCTCATATTCCAAGCCAATATCACTTTTCCCTCTCTGATCACTGCTTTCTCTGATTTGAAGGAATGATGTAACTAGATTGCACCACCCATATAATCCATGATAATCTCCCTATTTTAAGGTTGTTAATCATACAACAAAGTCTATTGCCATACAAGATTTTAGAGATTAGCATGTGGACATCCTGGGATAGGGATTGGGAAGGGAGTATGTGTGTGTGTGTGTGTGTGTGTATGGAATTTTCTTAGATTTTCAGTGACTGAAATAAAAACTGAAACAGTCATTAACCTCATTTTATTTATATATATAATGTATGTATATAAAATATATGGTATACCATGGTAATACTTATGGTTGTGTTTTGTTTAATACCATTTGCCTTTTATGGGTGGTTTTTGTAAAGCATTTTGTGGTTTGATACAGTGGGAGGCTTGTTGATCCTAAGCCATTTCCTGGGTTGGATAATGGCAGTTTGCAATGGGTGAGGGGGTACCTTGCTCAGTCTCATCCTGCCTGCGTGTTGAAGACAGTCTCTCTTGGCAGGCTGCAAGATGAACAACGTAAATGTGGTATATACGCCGTGGTCTAACCTGAAGAAAACAGCTGACATGGATGTGGGGCAGATAGGCTTTCACAGGCAGAAGGATGTAAGTGTTTGGCACCACTGCAGGAGGCGCATCCTGACACGGAGTGGATAGCCACCTGTTCTGTGTGACTCTATTGTTGTTGAGGGCCGAGCATGATACATGTTTCCTAAGGGAGTTAAACTGGGTTGCCAAACCCCTGGAAAGCCTTACCCCTCTTCTGGGAGAAAAGAACAATAATAAAGAGTCAGTACTTTCCCCTTTCTCTCTCTCAGGTAAAAATTATGACGGTGGAGAAAAAAGTGAATGAGATATTAAACCGATTAGAAAAGACCAAATTGGAGCGGTTTCCAGACCTAGCTGCAGAGAAGGAAAGCAGAGACCGGGAAGAAAGAAATGAGAAAAAAGCCCAAATTCAGGAAATGAAAAGGAGAGAAAAAGAAGAAATGAAAAAGAAGAGGGAGATGGATGAACTTAGGTATGTTAGAGATGTCTCATTGATGCTGACCTCAAAGATTGTTTGTTGCTGATTTTGATCATGGAGTAATGGTTAAGAATGATAAATTAGGACTGAGGGTATAGCTCAGTTGGTTGAGTACTTGCCTTGCATGCACAAGGCCCTGGGTTCAATCTCTGGCATTACCCAAAAAAAGAAAGAAAGAAAAATTGGTAATGAAAAATGTATAGCTCAGAACTTTAAATGAGTGAAAGCATATGTATTTACTTGCTGGTCAAATGAATTGTCATTTTATGGAGGTAGGTAGGATATGAGAGTATATGAAATAAAATAACATTTTACTAAGTAATCAATCAGAGGTTTTCTTTAGAGTTTAGTTTGTAAGTTTTTCAAAGAGGAAAAGATGCTATAAGTTTTTTTTTTTTTTTTTTTTTAGTGGTGAGGGCTGGTGCTGGGATTGAACCCAGGGCTTCACACATGTCAGCAAGTACTCTTACCACTGAGCTACATCCCAGCCCTAAAAGAAGTACTTAATATTGATTCTGTGCATTTCAAATACAGTTGTCTTGGCTCAAAAGGCCAGCTCTAGAAACTCTGAAAACTGTTTTTTAAAACTTTTTTCTATGTTTTTAAAGTTTAAAGTAACTAATGTGATGGGACTGCTCTAATGGTCTGCATTTTACACAACAGTTAAAATACACTTTGGTTCTTGAAGTACCAAGGCCATGAGAATACTGACTACATCAGTTTTTTGTTGGTTCTGTAGCAAGGTGCCACATAATTAGTTGCTTAGAGCCATTTACTACTTTATAATCTCATAGATCAGAAGTCCAGTGAAGTTGTCACTGGGCCAAAGTCAAGGTGTGAAGGGCTATATTCCTTTCTGGAGGCTCTAGAGGAAAATCTCTTTCCTCTTCTGCCTTCTAGAGGTTGCCTATATTCCGTGGCTTATGGTCCCTTCTTCCATTTTCAAAGCCAATGTCACTTTTTCCTCTCTGATCAGTGCTTTCTCTGGTTTGAAGGAGTGATGCAACTAGATTGGACCACCCATATAATCCATGATAATCTCCCTTTAAGGTTGTTAGTCACACTTACAAAGTCTATTGCCATACAAGGTTTTAGAGATTAGGATGTGGACATTGTAAGATAGGGACTGAGAAGGGAGTAGGGGCACTGAACTCAGGGTGCCCTACCACTGAGTTACATTACCAGTCCTTTATATTTGTTATTTTGAGACAGGGTCTCACTAAGTTGTATAAGGCCCCACTAAATTTCTCAGGCTGGACTCTAACTTTCTATCCTCTGCCTCAGCCTCCTTACCCTTCTGGGAGGCCTCATCCTGCCTATCACACTGAAAAAAAAAATGTGTATATATATATATATATATATATATATATATATATATATATATATAAACATATACTTCTATTCCTAAATAGTCCTCTCACTTTTCTTAGTTAAGGGACATCAATCTTGTGACATCTAGTCATAGAACTGGTAGATTTTTCATAGGTATTATTTGTGATAGGTATACCAAAAAAAGAAATAAAAAGATATTGAGAACATATGTTGCCTTTGGGAATGGTATAAATAAGAAATCAGTTATCTTGCCACGTCATCACCTAGTTCGTTGGAGTGTCATGCAATCTTACAAAGGTTATTTGATCAGAGTGTAGTATTACCATCATGTGCCATTGCTCATTATTTGCATGTGTTCCTGTTGGGGGTTCTGCTAAGAAAGGGTGATGAGGTTCATTTAAAATAGAATTTTAAAATGGAGAGTTCTGGAAATGTTATCCTGAGTTATAATTTGCTAACATGAGTCAAACTAATGAATAAATTTAAATGTATTATATGGCTTAATATTGTGAGTCTTCTTTGTGTTGTGAGTAAAAGAAAAATTATCAACACCATCAGTGCAGAGAACATTTGAATTCTGAGTGATGCAGGATTTATAGTAGTTAATTCTTTTTGTTCTTAGTTTGGAATAGGGAAAATTGAGAACATGGCTTTTTGTGCCCTTTAAGGTCTACCATCATTGTGTTTAGAGACATGGATGTGGGCTGAGGTTGTGGCTCAGTGGTAGCACACTTGCCTAGCATGTGTGAGGCACTGGGTTCGAGTCTCAGCACCATGTATAAACAAATAAATGAATAAAGGTCCATCTATAAAAATTAAAAAAAAAGAAATGTGATGTCAATTTATTTATAGCATTCAGTAAGAAAGAATTGCAAACATTCTTTAAAATTTACCGTCTGCCAAATGCTGTCCTAAAAATGCTTCATTGCATTGTGCCATTTATCAGGTAGCTATTTTTGTTAATCTGCATTTTATAGAAGAGGAAACAGTTTATGAAGCAATTAAATAACTTGCTCAAGGTCGAATAGTGAGTTGGTCTCAATCTGATTTTTCTAACCCTCATAAGTTGTTATAGTCTTTTTTTTTCTTTTTGGTACTGGGAATTGAACTCAGGAGCACTGAGCCACATCCCTAGCCCTATTTTGTATTTAGAGACAAGGTCTCACTGAGTTGCTTAACACCTTGCTTTTGTTGAAGTTGGCTTTGAACTCATGATCCTCCTGCCTCAGCCTCCCAAGCCACTGGTATTGTAGGCATGCACCACCATGCCAGGCTCATTCTTATATTCTTGTGCTCCCTATCTAACTCAGTTTTAAAGTAGTATTTATTCAATGTAAATCAGTTAATTTATAAGTGTTATAGTTTGCCTAAAAATACACTCCTTTTTTTTTTCTTCTTTGAATTAAGGTATATGCTCCTAAAATTTAGGGCATTTAATGAATTTTACTAGTTTCAGTAGTTGCAGAAATTTAAACAGAAGAATACATCAACTAAAAACAGTCTTTGTCTCTTCTAGGCTTTCTTCCATGGTATCAACAACATCTAAAATATGTATATGAATTTGAGGAGGTAGATTCTTAGTCATATTGAGTAAAATTCTTGCTTAAAATTTCGTCAGTCTCATTTTTACTTAGTCACTAATCACTTGTATTTTTTGGTAGTCTTTATGGGCCTCAGAAAACGAAAAATAATTGGTGTATTTACTTCTGTTAAACACATACCACACCAACAGCCTCAGTTACATGCTGCACATGGTGGGGAGCGGGAGTGCTGCAGTGCTGGGAGGAATGGGAAGCGACAACATGGGGACCGCTGCTGGGCATGTACAGAGCTGCAGCTTGCAGGCTTTATTCTGCAGCTTTGGGGAGTTCCGGCAACGGCCTCTAAGCCTCTGCCTTTCCAGTTTAATACATTTGTAGTACTAATATCACTTGAATTTCTGTTTTTGAATCTTCCAACCAAGAGATCAAATTCCACATCTTTACTTGTTTTATTTTAATCTTGTATTTTCTTACATGTTTTTTTGAGTTGTTGTACCAGATATATTTTAACCTGAAAATCAAGCCTATCATGTACATCTCATGATCAGAAGAAAGAAATAACAGGGAAACTTAATTAATGGAGAGTGGATAATAGATCAGAGTTTGAAGCAGTCAAGGGGTGGGAACTGTGGCCACCTGAGATAGGCATGTTTAACAGTTGGGAGTCTGGGAGGTCATATTTGGAACTCAAGCCTCCAGAGATTGACGTGAGAGAAATACAGGTCCATGTGAATGATAAATCACTGGTAAATACGTCAATTTGAACATTGACAAGAACTTGGTTTTCAGGCAGATTACTTCAGTAAGGAGATTAATGTGTGAATAGTGTGTTAGCCCTTTGTCACTATGACTGAAATACCTGATAAGGACAACTTAAAGGAGCAAAAGATTATTTTGGGCTCACGGTTTTGGAGGTTCAGTCCAAGGTCAGACTCCATTGCTCTGGGCTCAAGAAGAAGCAGAACTTCTTGGTGGAAGTGTGTGGAGAAGAGCTGCTTAGCTGATGGCAACTGGGAAAGAGTCTGCCCAAGAAGCCAAGAACAAAATATCCCTTGGGCACATCCCTAGTGATCTGTTTCTTACTCCAGCCACCCCGTGTCTGCCTACAGTTACCACCCAGTAATCCTTCCAGATTATTAATCCAATCAAATGGATTAACCCAACAGGTTACAGCTCTCAGGATTTAATCACTTCTCTTCTGAACGTTCCTACACTGTAACAGGAGCTTTTCAGGGGACACTTTCTATCCAAACCATAACAAGTGGTCTCGGCTAATATGTGACAAAGTAGGAATTCAAACTCTAGTCTGTAATTCTGAAGTCCATTCTATACCATGTTGCCTTTGAGGCAAGGATGAACAGATTGGCAAAGCCAGAGTCAGGGTCAAGAATGAAGATTTAAGTACATTGTAGAGTAACTAAAAGATTTCATTTGATAGAAATATGTTGTAGGTGATAAGGAGCCTTTATAGGCTTCTAGGATAAGGGGAAGAAATAGATTTGTGAAATGAGATCAGTGACAACTTGCAGAAGAGGTAACATTGAGGCTGTTGATTAAGAGTGATTCAGCCTCATGAAGACACTGCTGCTTTGCTTTTGCTTCATTTTGTGAGTCTCATGTGCACTACTGCTGCCTTCTGTGAGCAACACTGTGTGTGCTGCTTCTTCCTGTGAATCATAAGCTCTATCCAAGAAGTGATGTGCATCGCTGTATCCCCTGGTGTGGGACAGTGCTTTGCATATACGGTGAGTCAGTATGTTGTGAAGGAACAAATAACCTAGATGAGTGTCCCTAAAACAGTGATTCTTAAAGCTGAGATCAAAACTCTGTTAGCTAGTTAAAAAGGGCTGGGAGGAGTGCTCAAGACCCAGGGAACTCATGTCTGAGTGCAGAGATCCTCTATGGGAGGCAGCAAAGCAAAACCCAGGACCAATGTCCCAAATCTCTGGAGCAGCAGGAGTAAAAGGGGGTTTGGAGCAAGGGACCATTCCACAGAGGGCCTTCTTGGCCATGTGACATCATTGAAAGATTTCAAGCAAGCATAGTATTTTAGTCAGCTTTTCTGTACTGTGACTAAAAGACCTGATCAGAACAATTGTAGAGAAGGAAAATTTTATTTGAAGGCTCAGAGTTTCAGAGGTCTCAGTCCATAGCAGCCAGCTCCATTCTTCATGGATTTAAGTGAGGCAGAACATCATGGGGGGAAGAAGAAGCAGAGAGACTCCACATACCACAGACAAAATATACATCCCAAAGGCATACCCCCAATGCCCACCTTCTCCAGCCACACTCTACCTGGCCACCCAGTTTATCCCATCAGAGGATTAATTCATTGAGTGGGTCAAGACTCTCATGACCCAATCACTTCTCCTCTAAACCTTGCATTGCTCACTCTTGAGCTTTTAGGGGATACCTCACATCCAAACCATAACAGGTAATACAGTAATTTTTGGTAAGGTCACTTTACTGATCTGATTATAAAATGAACCAGAGTGGGTGTGGATAGGCCAGACACAAGCCACTGGCAGATGTTGGAATCACAGGTGATGGTATCTTGGACTGTGGTGGTGATATGGAAGTGGAGAGGAGCATTGGTAAAATGATATGATTGGATTTTAGGTTGGGTTGAGGGAAGGGGCTAAGAATGGCTCCTACATTTTGGTTTGAAGTGGAGTAGAAAATAATGCCATTCTTGGAGTTAGGAACCAATAGGCAAGAAATTGTTTGGGTAGGTATGCAGACCATGAGTTAGATACAGACTTAAGAATCTGAAGATACCTTTGAGGCACCCAGAAAGATGTCAGAGGGGCATTTGGATTAATGCGATGGAGCTCAGAGTAAATGTGTGGCCTAGAAAAACGACTTTGTGTGTTACTTTAAGATAGATGTGAAATCTAACCAGCGATTCTTCAGCTGGGTTGTAGATTTCCACCCCTGAGCACCTGGGTATAGGGTATTGATTTAACCCCTTGACTTTGGAAAGCCTATGGTACCATCAACCTAAGCCAATCCCATGCTATTCCCACCTGCCGAGCTCTGATGCAACCATCCCTGAGCCTATCCCATAGTGCCACAACTACAACTCCAAACCCCTACCTCACAAAAGTTGAACACTCAAACATCTCGGGGCCTATTCTCCATCTGTGGAGAGATGTGCCTTTATTTGTCAGCTCTGACAAACCAAACTCTGTGTGTATCTCTGCCTGGTCTCCATCTTTCATCTCTCACTTGCCCATCTCCTGGTTTCTTGCTTTCCATTCACTGAGTATGTTCTGTTCTTCACAGTGATTTAAATGCAGCCAGGATTGAACTGCTCTGCTCTAATCACATTTTCTTTTAATTGTGTATCTTTTTCTTTGTGTTTATGCACTTGTTGATCTTGCTTGTTTTGATTATTCATATGGAAGCCATTGAATTCTACAGCATCAACTAATCTCTCTGGATGCCTCCCAGCTTGTTCTCTTTAACCATGTTTTTAACCCGTCCTTCCTTCAGATTTTCAGTTTTCACTATCTGCAAGTTGTATTGACTTGTGTCAACACCATCACTTCAGATGAGGTGTGGCGTGTCTCAGATCAAGCACATCTTCTCATTTGCAGCATCCTTTTTTCAAATCATTCATTCCTCTCCTGTTTCTCTCTCTTGCCGCTGTAGCTGTTACCACAGTAGATCATGCTCTCAGTTTCAGGTAGTAGTAGGCTGGATGTGATGGTAGGAGTGGGAGTTTAGGAGGCAGACCTGGGCTCAAAGCCCATCTTCATCTTTCCTGCCTCTAATTCCGTATAATACTGCTGCCTTATACTGTGGTTGTGGGCTTAGTGCTGATTTATGAAGCACTTAACTTTTTTTCCTAATGAAATTTAACTAATTTCCTACGAAAAAAGGATATTTAGTAAATGACAGATACTTATATTGTTAATTGGTCTTCTTGCCTTACCCTCCCCTCCAGCCACTCTGTTTCCTACAGATTCCTTTTTAAAAAACTGGTATTATATATTAACACTTTCCCTGGAGACCTTTTTGTGATAGTGTATTTCTCCTTAAATACTTGTTGAATCTTTTTATGTCCATCCTATGCTCAATTTCATATATGTCTTCTTGCTAATGACATCATGTTTACTCACACAACTAGGTCAACATAATTGGGCCCCTCTGTCTGGCCTGATTTGCCACTGCTTTATTTCTAGATTCCACTCAAGTCAATTTCAGCTTCGACACATCATTATAAATACCACCTCTTTGCCTTAGCTCATCCCAGTCTCTGGATCTGAAATGCCCTCTCATTCAACCTACCCACTTGTCAGACTTCTGCCTCAACTGTGAAGGGTACCCTGACAGTTCCTTCCCACACTGTGTGTTCTCTCCTTTGTATTCTTGTAGCATTTACAGTCTGGACTTTGGCAGTGAATCACAAATGATCTTGGCCATAGATGAATCTCCCCCTCTAAGGGATAGGAGTAATGCTAAGGGATAGGAGTGTGGAAGTGAAAACATGAAACAAGTGAGAAAGCTCTTGGTAAATTGAAGTACTGTTCCATCTTATTTATTGTTCATACACTTATCTTTTAATGTTGCAGTCTCGTTGAGGACAAGAATTATATCTAATAACTGTTTTGTTTCGCCTGAAGCCCTTTGGAAGTGCTTGAATATGTGGTAAGTGTTCATAAAATTCTCATTAGCTCAATAACCTTATTTTAATGTTTTCTTCTAGGAGCTATTCATCACTAATGAAGGTTGAGAACATGTCTTCAAATCAGGTATGTTGAAGTTATTTCCACTTATATGTGTCTTAAAATAATTCACTATGGGTTTTTAATAAGATGTTGTAAGTATTTTTTTAGTGTTGCAAATTTCTCATTGTGAGTGGCAACTAGTTTGCTCACTTGAGTTGGATTCTATTAATCATTTCCCCCTCCTTCCCTATAGACCTTCTCATGTTTTGTTTTTAAATAGGTTACCTCATTAAAAGAGATTGTTATACCTTACCTACTGTGAAGTATATGTCTACTAGATTATAGGATGTATTAATTAGCTTTCTAGTACTATAACAAAATATTTGAGATAATCAACCTAAATAGTAAAAAGGTTTATTTTGATACACATGTTTTTGGAAGTTTCAGTTCATGATTGGTTGGCACCATTGCTTTTGGGCCTGTGGTGGGGCAACAAGTACTTAATGGTAGAGTGAGTGAGTGGTGGAGCAAGCAGAGGGGCCTAGGATTCCAACATCCCTTTCAGGGACACACTCTCGGTGTCCTAGCTTCCTCTCATGAGGTGCTACCTCTTAAATATTCTACTACTTCTCAGCAGCATAACACATGGGTTTTGGGGGGGGCATTCCTACTATAGTGCAGGACTTTTGTTTGTTTGTTTCTTTTTTTTTTCTCTCTCTCTCTTTTCTATTTGCAGGACTGCAAAAGTGCCTTTATTTATTAATGTTTTCAGTTAATATGATTATAGATTTTATAGTGTAATTGAGTAAATAAAATTATCATCTTAATTAAAAATAAAAGTACTGTCCCTCAGATCTTTCATTGTAGCCCAAGTTACAGAAAATGGTGACCCATAGCATAATACTAAAAGGATCTTCTTAACATCCACATCTAATTATTTTATTGGAACTTCATCAGACCTTGTTCTTGAGGACTGTCTTCCTCAAAATTTGGGTTAAAGTGTCCAGAGAGATAGCATAACTTATGCTGTCTGAACAGTTACTGAACAGTCTTTGCAGAAAATGAAACCAACTAGTTGTATTTTGGATATTCTGGGTATTATAATATAATTTTTTTAAAAAACATGCTTTAGATCTATGTCATCCAATACAGTAGCCTCTAATGTCATATGTTATTTAAATTTAAATGGATTAAAATTAAATTAAAACTTGAGGTCCTTAAGTCATACCAGCCCCATGTGCTAGAGGCTACCAAGTCAGCTCAGACAGAACTTCTCCATTGTTGCAGAAAGTTTTGCTCAGCAGCTGTCCTTTCCTTAAAGGCAAACTAGTGAGACCCCAGATTTAGTGCATGAATTGGAATGGATAGGATTTTAGGCATTGTTTATGTCTAATATTCTTTCAGGCATGTCTAAAAGCAACATCCTTAGCCCCACCTCTTTGAAGAACTAAATTTATGAGTCTCCTTTGAATCTGAGATGTATCTTTATAGTTTATTCCTGAACAATTCCAGAATAGCATTGTATAATTCAGCAGAACACTGAAGAGAGAGACTGCTATTTACTAGTTGGATAAACATGACAAAGTTATTTAACCTATCTAAAGGAGTTTTCCTTATCAGTTAAATGGAGAAATTAACTTATGGGGTTCTAAAATTTAAACAAGGATATGTGTGTGAAAATCTTTCTGGACTTAATTTCTGCATTAGTAGTCATTATTAGTTCTTACCTATTTGGTTCTCAGTTGTTCTTTGCCTACAGAGTGTCCATATCAAAAGATGAGATATATTTAGTCCCTTCTGGAAGCTATTTCTTCATACTTGGAACAATTTAACAGTCTTTAACATCTTCCAAATCTAATTTTGTACTAAGTTAAATATAATACTCTAATCTTTGCTGTGGTATTATTACTTAGAAGTTTTCTGTTAGTTAGAGGCTACTTTCTACCAAAAATATGACCCTGGCATTATGTTATGATCTTAGACATTTTATTCCCATCATCATGGATTTTAAATTTGGATATTGTGGTGGAGTTGAGAAATACACACACACACACACACACACACACACACACACACACACACACACACGTAATGTACAATCTGTGGGACATTGATTCCAAGGCCTCCACAGATACCAGAATCTACAGTTGCTTAGGTCCCTCTGTGACAACAAGTATTTTCATACCGTGCACACATCTTCCCAAGTAATTTAATTTCTCATACCTAATGCAATGTAAATTCTGTGTAAATAGTTACTACTCTGCATTGTTGAGGGAACTTGCCATCCTTTTGCCTCAGCCTCCTGAGTCATGGGGATTATAGGCATGTGCCACTGTGTCCAGCTAAGAAACATATTTGTTGTGTTTATTTATTCAGAGTAAAAGGAATCTAAAATGGAAAAGTTATCCAAATAAAGTCTTAGATCTCAGGTATATGTTTAAAATTGATATGATCCCAGACATGGGCTCTTGGACACATGGGAGCTCCTGCCGACCCAACTCCAGCCTCGCAGAGGGAGTAGTGCACTTTCATTGTCCTTGGCCCAGATTCCCTTGTTGAGCTGTTCACACTTAGTGGCTGAGTTGGAAAGTTGAAGCCTGAAAATGTAGGATGATTCTTTCAGACAAACTGCTGCTATTTCTGTGATCTGAGGCACTTTTACTGTGGCTTGGGTTTCTTGTGCTAATGGAAGAAAAAAGCACATAAAGAACCACTGAATGAAACTGAAAATAATGCCAGAGTGCATCAAAACCATTGTTTTCCACCTGTGTCTCATATTTCCCTACTATCTCCAGCAAAGGCTGTCAGAGAGAAAAAAGGCTGTGGAAGCCTCAGTCCTGTCCCTGTCTCAAGCAATCCTGGTGTCGAGCAACAAAGTGACAGAAGATGAAACAAATACAGTGCCCAGGTGGTTCACACGGCCAAGCTAGTGTACAGGCGCAGGCTGTGAGACCTGGCAGTCAAGGAGTGGAGTCCCACCTCTGTGCGCGGCCTTCAGCATTTGTCTACACCACACATGAAAATCGATCCCTTTATTGTATAAGCCATCACATAAGATTTTTCTTAATAACTTGGCAAGCCTACTAACTTGGTAACTAACCTATATTTGGCTTCCTACAGATTTTTCTTATGAAAAAAAAAAGAAGAAATCAAAGCTATTTTTGAAAGTCACATATCTGATAATCTTGAGGCTCAAAACACTGGAATTTAGGCCACAACTATTTTGCAGAGTGGCAGCATTGTTGGCATAACAGTATTGAAGCATGTTTATTTGCTATATTTGTTGAAGGATTAAGCCTGATTTCTTTTTTTAAAGTTTATTATGTATATTTAAGATATACGTGAGATGTTATGGAATATGTATAGATGCTAAAAATCCTATAATGAAGCAAATTAATATATCCATCATCTCATAGTTATCCATTTTCTAAAATATGAGATTCATGCTAAGTGAGTAGATTTTAGCTTAGATTATTTTTACACTCATTCCACCCTGTACTAGGTCAGATGGACCTTCATACTTTGGAAATTATGGTAGCTTGTTGCTGTGAATCAGTCATTGCAGTGACACTTTAGCAAATATGCCTGCTAATGTAGATGTTTCAGAGAACTGATAAAGATGCACAAGAAGTAACGAGTGAATTTAGTTATTTTACCTTTTAATTTTATACCCTGAGATTGATTAGAGAAGGAGGCTTGTCAGTTAAGATTATAATTGTAAATTTTAAATGTTGAGTTGTTTATTTTTGAGGATTTTAAGGTTTCACTTTTTTGTTTTTCTTGTAGGATGGCAATGATTCAGATGAGTTCATGTGAAAGGAGAAAAGGATTCTGAAAGCTGTGAATGCAGAGAATTTTGCGGACCTTGTGATTTCATCTATGTTTTAAATTATAAACAACAACCAAAATTCTGCCTTCATTCTACACAGATATTATTAATTTTGGATTTTAAAAAAAATCCCTTTTTTTGCTGACAAAAAAAGAACAGATATATATATATATATATATATATTATAGTTGAACTTGAAGACAGCATATATAACTTTAGGAAAACAAAAATATTTTTGCCAGAACACGTCTCAGTACCTTGCGAGAGCTGACTGCCCTTGTTCTTGAGATAGACTTTAGAGTAAACCAACTCTGAAAAGTATTTTTGTGGCTGTGGTTCATCCCTGAAAACAGATGTCTTGAAATGCTTTTCATAGCCTAAAATACCTTCACTTCTGTTAAGAAGAATGTGTTGGTGGGCAATTCAGGCCAAGATTCTCCCACTCCCAATTTCCTGATTAGAAAAGCAGAGGTTTGAAGGTGATAGTGATATTTCAAAAGATTGCTGGCTTCAACATTCTCATTCCCGCATGTCGTCAGTCTGTTAGTGTAGTGGTCCTCAGCTTGTCCCAGGTCCTTTGTCCTCCTCCCTTTTTTGAAGTGAGGGCCTTCATCTTCATAGCATCATATTGAAAGAAATAGTTGGTCTAAATCAAGTTTTGCCTTGTGCACCTTGCCTGACACCCAAGTAATCCAAACTACAGGTGCAACAACTTCTAGGCTCCATTTTTCCACGCTGAGGGGGACCAAGAGGGTGCTCTGTGAACTGAGTGGGGGATACAGGTTACCTGATTTTTGTCTTGAAATTCAAGATGAAGCAAAAATACACATTGAATTATCAAGCATTTTCCTAGCCAGCCAAGTAATTTATGTCCTTACCTTGAAATAATAATTATTTTTGAGTTTTAACCTTTGAGATTGGATCTCTCAGTTACGGCTCCTAACTTAGGTAACATTACTACTCAGCTGAAACACTCGCTACCCATTGTAATTCTGACCAGAAGATACATTTTTATTGCCACGTGTAAGGCAACCCCTGAAGGGAGTGACAAGACAAAACAGTGAAAGAGCCTGCAGGACCCCCCGCTTGAAGATTGTAACACCCAGAACCCTGCCTGGTGCTGTTATTCTAACTCGTCAAAAGTGACTTTCAGCAAACCTTGTAGCTGCCTAGCACTTTGGAAGTGTGGGTAAAACCAGAAGACATTTTCTTTTATTCTAAGTTGGTGTATGGGCTTGATCTGGAAAATTCCTGAGGCATAACTCATTGGCCAAATTTTGAGGGGTATGAAAATACCAGAGTGTGTGGGCATGTGTGTCTAATGTTTTAGACTGGAGTTCTGTGATTAAAAAGTTATAATAAAGTATTGGGTTTTTTTAATCTGGAAGGATATGCTTGTTATAAAATCAGCATGTTGATTTTGAGGTTGATTTTCTGTAAAAACAAAACAAAAAACCATTTATTAAGTGTATCAGGCAAGAACTCTTACCACTTAAGCTGCAGCCCTGGCTCGTCAGGCTGATTCGGGCAAGTTCTGTAAGGGTATCCTCCTCCATGGGTAAATGTCTGTGGCTCCCAGCTGCTGGTGGGTCAGAAGAGATGGCCTTTCTCAGTCAGACACTCTGGTTTGAGTGCACTGATGGCTATGCTCCACCATCCTCAGGCCTCTGGCTGGTCACAACAGCACTTTGAACATGGCCTCAAGCACCTCAGATAAGACTGCCCCCAGCGTTGCTGTGTCCCCTTAGCCCTATGCCTCTGCAGTGCCCCTCTGCCTCACACTGCAACATATGCAGGTGGAGCCTCTGAGGAGTTCTCTTTAATAGAGGTGTTGGAGTCCAATTTTTCAACAGTTGGGACTCTTGGCTTATAGGGCCTCTTCTGAATTCTGAGTTGAATTTCTGGTCTGTACCTCTTTAGCTCTTATCTGCTGATTCCCCTTTCGCTCTGTCTCTGCCTTTTTTCTCCCCATTGTCTTGGTCCCGGGGAAAAGCAAGTATTCTTTTCTTTCTCTAGTGATTGAACCGATGGGTTCTTAACCACTGTGCCACATCCCAGCCCTTTTTATTTTGAGACAGGGTCTTACCAAGTTCTTAGGGCCTCACTAAGCTGGTGATACTAACCTCGTACTTACATTCCTCCTACCTCAGCTTCTTAAGTTGCTGGAAATACAGGCACATGCCACTGCATCTGGCTTTGGGGGCGTGGGATGGGGGTGGGGGGATGGATGGGGGAATCCTGGGGATTGAATGCACTGAGCTGTATCCCCAACCCCTTTATTTTGAGACAGGGTCACCCTAAATTGCATAGTCTGAACTCTAACTTGTAATCCTTTTGCCTCAGCTTCCAAAATAGCCAGGAAAGGGGTTACGCTTCCTTGCCTGGCTAAGGACCTTTCCCTTGAGGACATACACGTTTGCTGCTAATAGGTCAGACTGTTGGCCCTGAAGTCATCTCAGTCCTTGCTGTTGGCATATTTCTTGAACATTTGATGGGAAAATTCCAAATTGTTGCTGTTTTTATGAACTGTGCCCTTGATGAAATCCATCTAACCTAGAGGTTCTCTATGGTTCTCCCTTTGCCAACTCCGTCTCCAGTTTCACCACTCTGAGCTTCATGCAGGTGAAGGTTGTATTGTGGTTTAATTAACTTCACAAACTGCTCTGTTGTTATATTTGGATAGCTTTAGACTTGATGTTTCTTACCCACCTTTGTCCTTGGGCAAGCGAAGTTGATCACAGTTGGAACAGATACTGGAAAGTTTATCAAAATATCAAGGATTTTGATATTGGCAGAATAGGGGATAGGCTTTAGTTGAACCTCTTCAGTGTCTTTTTGTGTTTTGTTGTATTTTAACTCTTTCTAAAAACTCATTCTAGTGAGCCTTGTAATTGTTCAGTGCCAGTAGTTCCACCCATTTAGGAAGGATGGCATGAGCCACACGTAAGCAAAATTAGAACTCAGTTCCTGCCTCCAATTTAAGACCAAAGCTGTCCCACTTTACAACTATCTGAGTGGGGAAGTTCTTGTTTTCTGAGCTGGAACAGTTAGTTTATGGAAAACTGAGCTGGGTAGCAAAGCAGAGAAATGGAACAACTTTCTAATTGCTCCTGGAGTCATCATATTGAAGCCTGCTTTTTCTTTGGTTTCAAGTACATCATGTGAATAACAAGTTCCTATTTCAGAATGATCATATTAGAGTGAGTGGGTGAACTTTTGATTTTAAAGTGGTCTATAAAAACAGATCAAACTGTAATCAAAAGTATAAAGTTAGAAACTTAAATTCCAGGCTCAATGTCAATCTGGATCCATATCGCTCCAGTGAGTCTGCAGTAACTCAGGAAAGAGAACAGTTTGGCTGTGGCCTGAGCAAGTTCCTATTCCAGTTCCACAGAGAGCTCTTCTCTGCCAGTCATAAGGGAGGCCAGCATGGGTAGGAGAGTTTTCTGTGCATTCTGTCGTTTTTAAAGTGATACGGTGCCAACCACAGACAGTGTGGCGTGGATAAGTGATGCCTAAAACATAAAAGCTTATAGTTGGAGTAGAACCATGTGTGTTTGGGATTTCCCATTGCGCTTGTCCTCCAGTACTCATCTTGCTAGTGGGATGTGCGTACTGACTTTAGGCACGTAGGGAGAAGGAGGTTTTTGTGCTGTGTGTAATGAAGGTTGCCTTTCAGGCAGTCACTTGTTCCTCAGCAGGAGGAGAGGACCAAAGCAGAGATAGGGGAAGATCACCCATGAATTCCAGGAAGAAGACGGAAGAAGCTAGAGCTAAAAGGTGATGGTATTCCTAGAAAACATATTTTTGGAGCTTAAATTTGCCCATTTCCCCCCTATAAAATTTTTAGGGGTCTTCCTGAAATTTTAGCTGGTTTATCAGTTCATTTCCTGTTTCTCTAGCAAAATACTTGAGGCTGGGTACTTCATATGTTAAAGGAGTTTATTTGATTCACAGTTCTGGTGCCTGGGGGGGGGGTCTCAACAGCATGGTGCTGGTGTCTTGGTGAGGGCCCCCTCGATGCATCACAGCTTGGGAAAAGACAGAAGCACCTGGGGTGCTGGAGAGGCCAAGCAAGTGGTTGGTCTTACTTACCACAACCTGTTCTCATAACCAACTCCCTTGAGAGGCACTAATTACTTTCTATTAGGCCCCACCACAAAAGTTCTACCACCTCATTAGCAAAATCAAGCATCTAGCAGAAGAACCTTTAGGGGACAAATAGCTAAAAACATAGCAGCCGGATGAGGGTGCAGGTATGAAGATTCACTGGAATGGATTCCTGGAATATAGGACTCTGGACAGTGTTCTGTGTATTAGATTTCCCCCTCTTTTTTACCAAGCTTAACTCTAATGTTACTTGGTGTTTGTTGGGAGGTATTGAGATTTTTTTTCCCCCTATTAATAAAAGCATATTTAAGCCCGTGACCAGACAAGTACTTTAGCTCTCAGCTGCAGCCCTAGCCCTGTATTTAAATTTTATATAAGAATTTAATTGATGAAGGACTTGAGTTATTTCTTTCTAGGCAGGACCAACTCCTACACTTTTTGTTTTAGCTGCCTTAGCTACTAAAATTCTGGGACTTGAGTAAAATATAAGGCAAATGTAGGTTAAAATCAGAATTTTTCATACAGAACAATTTAGAGATCCGAGTAATAAACTGGTTGGACTTACCAGTCTACTACAAATACAATACCTGTCTAATGCCATCTAGCCCAGTTTAGGGCTATCCATACCTCTGTTTCACACTGATCATGTAATTTAGTCTCTGATTTCATGGCTGTGCAGGAACTCCAAACTCTCCACCTTAGTGGTGGTGACTGTAGGTCTGCACTAGAACCACATGAAAGAAGAACTGGTCCCTGGGTTGGCATGCCCTGATTGGCACTGACTCAGCATTTTCTGCATTTGTGGACAGCTGAGAAATGGCAACTGGGGAAGTGAATGCTTATTTTAGAAATCCATGTAGATTTCTCTAGTTCTCAAACCAGGTGCGTGGGAGTCAATATTTAAGGCTGGAAAAAAGGACATTCTCCAAAGGCAGTATTGTGTTTCCCCCCTCACATCAGCCCCAACTAGTAAAACACTGTGGTAAAAACAGACGAATGGCCTGACATTTCACATCCTGCCCAGAGGCCTCACTGCTCAGGCTCCTGCTGGTGTTTTGGTTTCTACTCAGCAGTTTGCTTTACATGGAGAAGGTTCACATTTGCTTATGAGTTAAGAGAACTGGGATCTCCTAGGTGGCAGAGACAGAACCTTCTTGACCCATGGTGAAGACAGTCCAAGGTCCATGGATTGAAGCTACAGACTTAAAAAGATAAAGTACTCTTGGGGGCGCTGTGCAGTGCCCTTTCACTAGCCCAGTCTTGCCAGACTACCTTCAGTTGTGAAGTCCTTAGCTTTCACGGTGTGGCATCCATCAAAACCCTGAAAATTTTATTTTATGGTTAATATACTCAACATTGAGGAGACTTACATAGCTTATTTCAAAAACAAAATTACTTTTATTCTTTTAAATTTTTTAAAATTAACACAGTAGTATTACATACTTCTAGGATGCAGTGTGCTATAAATGTGTACTGATCAAATCAGTAATTAGCATTTCCATTTCTTTATCATTTCTTTATGTTTAGAGCCTCTGAGCTTCTCTCTTCCAGTTCCTCATAGGTGATTATAAACTGGTCACCCTGCTGTGCTGTGGGACACTGGAGCCTATTTCTCCTATGTAATAGAATTGCTTTTAGAGCAGTTTGGAAAGGGATAGAAGGACTGTGCTGCGGTTTGAGTTTTAACCCAAAAACCTTTTGTGCTGGAAGCTTGGTCTCCAATGTGGCCATGTGGAGAGGTGTGGCCCAATGAAAGCTGGTTCGATGATTGTTGGCTCAGAAAGGATTACTGCAGTTCTCATGGGTCCTGGTTAGTTCTGTAAGAGTGAGTCTGGCTCCTGACTCTTTCTTGCTTCCCGTCTCACCTTGTAATCTCTTTCTCTCCCATACACCCTGCTATGATGCCATCGCCTTGTGATTTAGCCAGAAGTCCCCCACCAGAGCTGAGCAGAAACTGGTGCCAGAACTGTGAGCTAAATGAACCGTTTTCTCCATAAAGGAATCAGTCTTGGTATTTTGTTACATCAACATAATATTGACTGAAACAGTGGGAAGTATACAAAACTAAAATTTGATCCACAAAGGAGTTTTCTTGCTGGCTATGACTAGAAAATATAGCCTGTTTTGCACAAGAAGGAGAAAGAGGTCCATGTTCCTGTTCCTATCCCAAGGAGAGTTGCTCCCTGTCTTGTCCCTTTTCTGCCATGAGAGAAGTTTTGTGGTGCCCATGATTGGTGCTTTGTGAAACTGCAAAACCATAGTTTCCCAGACTGTTTT